CGTCCCTAAATAAATACACGTGGTTCAGTTAACACAGCAGCAGAATAGCATGCTAGGGAGCCGTGGCTCTTGCATGCAAGACATATATCCAGTTTGTGTCAGAGCAGTGAAGGTCTGTTAATTCTGGCTGTCCCGGTTCATAGCTCACCGTGTGGTTTGCAGCTGAATTTGGCGCAGATGATGCTGCAGCTGCAGCCTGCACAGCCCTGTTTCCAGATGTGCAGTGCTTCACCTTGCTCCTGCCATCAGCCAAAGCCAGGGAGGTTCCTGGACTTCATTTCACACATTTTTTTAGTGCAAGATAGTCTCCAGCAGAGGCTGGCAGCTTCCATCTTCCATCCATCTGTTCCCATGGTTGGAGCAGAGGGAAAGTGTATCGTTCAGATTTTGTTCTGCTTTTTGTATTGCAAAAATTTAGCTCTTTCTGGTGGTTCTTTGCTCCTGGTAACCTGTTACTTTCTTCTGGTTTAGTGATGCATTGGCCTAAGTAGCAAATAGGAGTTTGTTATGTACATTTTAATGCCATGGAGGCAGTTTTGAATTTGCAGTTCATGTGGGATAAAATTCCCTGATTATATAACCAGTGAAAATCCATATCTGAGCTTCAAGAATTGGGTTTTTCCAGAAATGGTACTTTGCTCTTTAGCAGCATGAAACAGCTGAAGACTGCAGGGAATCGTGTGTGCCTGTGTGTCACATCCTGAATTGCCTGTGTTTGCTTAGCTGAGGGTTTGGAACAGAGGGAGGATCAGTGCTGCCCACTTCTCATTTCTCAGTCAAGATGCTGGTGCTTAGCTGGACACTGAAATAGAGAGAAGCCCCATGGCAGCCTGCACCCTTATTTGATGCATTCATACCCTGCCCCTTCACACCATCAGCACATCCAGTGGTGGTCTCCATCTCAGGCATTTCTTTTCCTTGCTTGCACTTGGCATTAGGAGACCTGGTATGAGCCGGACTTTGTCTGCAGCCCTCGTTCCAGGTCCCCAGGCTGTGATATGCTGACTTTTCCTTCATTGGTGTTAATTGCTCCCATGTCATATACATGGAAAATTCCCAGGATTGTTTCTGCTCTGTATTTAGACGGGATTTATTTTGGTCCCTGCTGCTTTCCCTTTTACTGTGCCACCATGGTCTAGGGCCAAGTCCCTGTTGCTCTGTCTGCACTTGTCTCGGTTGTGGCAGCAGGCTGCCCCTGTGTGGGTGCTTTGGATGAGAAGCTCTGTGTCGCCAGTGCCCCCTTCCTCACCAGTCCCTGTAACACACGGCCTTTTAGTACTTTATGCCCTGCCCAAAATACCTGCTCACCATGCAGTCCCATAATACACTGCATAGAAAGCGAGGCCACCTTCTGAAGTCTGTGAACTGCTCTACTCTGCTGTGACACATCCCTGTGGATCTGCAGTGTGGGAGTCCTGGCACTGACAAGCCCAGCATCTCCATAATTTTGTGTGGCCCTGTGCTGGCTGGTGTCTGGTGACAGCCTCCCAGCCATCGTGATGTGTCCCCAGCAGCGTGCAGGGCTGGGTCACCTGCTGCCATCCCTGCACACCAGCATCCGTCACACAGGCAGCATGCCCCGTGGTGGTGTGGGGGGGACCAAAGAGACAGTCTCATGTCACAGGGTGGTCTTTGTTCCTGCAAAGTGACTGATTTTCCTGGTGGGAAAGTACGTGCTGCCTGTGGAATCCATCTTCTGTTGCCAAACTGTTTATGGCCTGGCATGGAAAGCTGCCATACCCTCAGAGAGCTGCCTTACTGTGGGGCAGTGGTCCACCGTGGCCTGCAGCACAGGTAGCATTGATAGAATCACAGAACCAAAGAACCTCAGAATGGTTTGGGTTGGAAGGGACCTTCAGAGATCATCTAGTCCAGCCCCCTCTGCTACTCACTAGATCAGGTTGCTCAGAGCCTCATCCAATCTGATTTTAATCACTTCTGTGATTTGGCATTCACAACTTCTGTGGGCAGCTTGTTCCAGTGTCTCACCTCCCTCGCTGTAAACAGTTTCTTTATTACATTCAATCTAAATCCAAACTTCTTTCACTTTCAAACTATTGCCTCTTGTCCTGTCACTACAGGCCCCAGTAAAAATTCTTTATCTTTCTTATAAGCCTCCTTTATGTATTGAAAGGCAGCAACAGGGTCTCTCCAGAGCCTTCTCCAGGCTGAACAACCCCAACTCTCTCAACCTGTCCTCGTATGAGAGGTGTTCCATCTCCCTGATCATTTTGGTGTCCTTCTTCTGGACCTGCTCTAACAGGTCCATGTCTTTCCTGTGCTGGGGTCCCCAGAGCTGGGTGCAGCGCTCTGGGTGGGGTCTCATGAGAGCAGAGGGGGACAATCCCCCCCCTCAGCCTGCTGGCCACCATGTCGTTGTGCCTGGGGGACGGGGAAGGGGTAGCTCGGTGCGCTTCACACCCACTCTGACTGCTGGAACCAAGCAGGCAGGAGGAGCTGCCAGCATCTGGTAAGGAGGGATTGGAGGCACAAGGACGCAGTAGAGCTTTGTGCAGAGGGCAGGCAGGGCTGGTGTTGCAGGGCTCAATCACAGCAGCATGGTGCTGGGTGTGCCAGGGCCGAGAGCCAGGAGGGCTGGGGGGGCAGGTCCATCATGCTGTGTGTGGCACTGAGGCAGGGCAGGGTAGGCACAACGTCACTCATGAGCGTTATTGATGAGAGTCCTGGGAAAATTCTTTCCAGCCTGTAACCTCCCGCACGAGGGGACAGAGGAGGTGCCTGACCTGCCACATTTAATGCTGGTCTGTTGTCGATGCCATGTTCTTCTATCCACCTTCCTACTGCTAGCATTTTCTGTTTGCTTTCTCATGAATATTTTGGACCGTTCGCAGAAATACATCACTGAGAGCACTGTGACTTTTTTGGTACCCATTAGGTGATGTTATTCCATGTGTTACTTCTGAGCAGAGGACAACTTCGATTTATAAGTCTGAGCTCCTATTGTCCTTCTTGAGCCTGAGTGTGAGCCAGTGCTCACCCACTGACTCCTCCTTGAGACATTTTGCCTCTTACTGAAATGTCCAGTAACCTCCTGAAACATCCAATGGTTGCTCCTTATCAAACCGTCCTCCCCTCAAATAAGCAAGTAGCAGGGACTGGGAGTACACATTTTGCATTCAGATCTTCACCCCTGATTCTGTTTTCACATACTTTTCCCACTGTCTCAGCTACAAAATTGGGAATAAATTGTCATTACATTTCTATTCCCCATATTTAAAGAAATGTATGTTTATATTAGCTATTAATTCCTTACCAGCTGATTTGGTAGTCTGTTGATATGGTATACCCAATGTATAAAGACTGAACTTATCCAGCAAAGACAGGATGCTGAGTTGTGAGCAGTTAGAAGCATGGGTTTATTCGCGATATAAATGTGATACAGGATGAGCATGTGAAGAGCTGATGGTAGGTTTAAGAGAGTTCGGTTTTAGTAGTTATATTATTTTGCATGCTCTTCCATCAGAATTGTTGAAAAGTCCATCCAAGTCCCGAGAGGAATAACTAACACATGAGTTTAAGATGAATGAAAACCATAACCGAAGGATAAAAAGGCAAAGCAAAGGGCAGACCTAGGAGAGTGGGAAAGGCAGCATGTTTAGGGCCTGGGCTTTGAAGCCAGGCTATTTCAAAGCAGATACTGTAACTGGAAGTAAGGATGATGAAACACATCAGCAGTGCTGGGAAGGCAATATACCATGTACTGAGGAGCAGTGGACACAAGAAAGTTGAGTGAGAAGCCACATGTAGAACCACTGAAGCTTGATGGAAACTTCTCCCTTCTCTATGTGGGCATGCACGGGTGGTGGCCTGCGCAAGCTGCCTTGTTGGAGAAGATCCTGGTGGCTGAGGGAATGGGATGGGTCTGGAAGCAGTCACAGCTGGGACAGCCACGGGTAAGTGGTGGGCTGCAAAGAAGAGAGCTAGCAGCATGGCAGAGCAACCAGGAATGCCACGAGGGTTTGGGGGCTAGGAGTCATTGTGGGAACGTGGTAGTCTTTTCATGCAGTGGGCCGCTGGAGGGCTGAGGTTGCACTAGGGGACTTCGTTTGTTCCATGGCACGCTTTAGCTGGGATCTGCCATGAAACTGTATTAAAATGTACCTTAGAAAGCAACCAGGGCTTTCATAGTATTTCCTGTGCCTGATAATTTAGTATTTTATTGCAATTCAAGTCTATTATTGTTGTAGTCAAAACTGAATGAGATCCCTGTTTCTTTTGACATTTTAATTATTACATTTTTAACAAAAGAAGGCAGAATTGAGGTTTCTCATACAGATGACATACAAAGCATAAAGATGTTTTTTGCTGGTTCACCTCTCTGGATAACTCGCTCTTAGACGCACATCACCCATATCTGGCTTGATATTATTTTCTGTGGAAAAACTTTTGGATGTCTGAAGAGCTTGTAACATCATAGTTGCCTTCAAGGGATGCCCAAAACCCTATAAAGAAGAGCTGGTCTTAAAATGCATTGTTTTTAATGCCTCCTGAGGTTTAGCAACAAGCAGACAGTTGGGAGGAAGAGTCCTGATAGACACTGATAAACATCAGTTCCCTGGGCTGGTTTAGAAGATGTTTATTCCAGTTCTTATGATACCCTGAGGACAACTTCGCTGTAAAAACAGAGAAAGCAAGACTTTGTGTTAAAGAGTTCCCAAAGTTAAAACTAAGTAAATACAGTAACAGTTATTCAAGCTGCTTGTACGGAAGTTAAAAAAAAAAAAAAAAAAAGGGGATTGGACTGTGCCAAATTGCTGGTTTGGATCACCTTTTACACTATGGCTCCCTAAAAAAAGTGTTTGATTCCTTAATATGTTTCTCTGCTGGGGTTGGACGTCTGCCCTAGCAGCAAGTTTACCTCTAGAGTTGTGCCAGGCTCTGCCTGACGGGATAAACTTAGAGTTTTTTCTAAGTTTGCAGATGCTTCTTATTTCTTCCTGCATGACACAGCGTTTGACTGGTCCTTCTTCCTGTTTCAGCCTGAAAGGATAGATCCCAGTGCGTCCAGGCAAGGCTATGATGTCCGCTCAGATGTCTGGAGCTTGGGAATTACATTGGTGAGTGAGTGGGGTTGAAACCCTCTTCTGCGCGGTACTTTCCTGGTGAGTAGCCTTGGTGTGCTCTGCAGTGTGATGGTTGGTGTCAAACATGCGCTTGAAGCAACGCCCAGCTCCGCTGCTGTGAAGCGTTTGCATGTTGTGATTGCAGAGGGCTCCTCCTGGCTCAGAAACAATAGAAATCCCTTCGAGGCAGGTGGCTCTCCTGAACCCCTGAGGATACATTTAGCTGCAGCTATGTTTTTCAGAGAAAGAGATGTGAGCAGGGAAGAGGTATTGGATTATAAACGGAAAAATTGAAAAGATACTCCCTTCTTGAGGTAGTGAAGTAGAAAACAGAAGCAGTAAGTATGAACCAGTAGCTTCTGTCTTCCCCACTGGTGTTTTAAAGTGCTCGTTTTCACTGTCCTGTGAGGAGCAGGGCATTGGACTCAATTATCCTTATGGGTCCCTTCCAACTTGTGATATTCTATGATTGTGTGATTCTCATCCATTTTCTTTAGTGGTTGCTAGGGTGCGTGGGGAAGGGACTGGAGGATTTTACTTACTTGCTTTTGAACGCCTTAGTAAGAGCATTGGTTCATTTTATAGTCAGTGGAGGAGATGTTGCCAACATGAAAGCATGGCATAGCTGGGTTAAATCTGGAGGTGCTCCTAATGTAGACAGCACAACTGACTGTTGGGTAAAACTTTTCCTCCTCTTGGCTGAGCTTCATATAAGGAATGGGATGAAGAATCTCATCTTAGTCGTCCCTTTGGGGGTGTTCAGGGTCCTTGCAGACGTTTTCTTGCCATGATTGAACTTACCTTGTGTAACCTGTCTAGTGCTGTTGCTGTCTCTGCAGTATGAGCTGGCCACAGGGCGATTCCCCTACCCCAAGTGGAACAGTGTGTTTGACCAGTTGACACAAGTAGTAAAAGGAGACCCACCACAGCTGAGTAACTCAGAGGAAAGGGAGTTCTCCCCGAGTTTCATCAACTTCGTCAACTTGTGGTAAGTGTTTCTTACTGAAAGCACTTGAAGTTGACTTGTTTTGTCATTGCTGTGTATTTGGCAAGAGTCATATGCCAAGCACTTCCTAGCTTAGTTTCACATTCCTATGCCAACGGGAGGGTGAGTCCCTTTCACATTTCGCTGGTTTGGAGGTGATGGGAGACTTCTCTGGGTGGGGGCTGGATGGCAGACCTTTGGAAACTGCTCTTCAGGGAAGGGGTGAGGAGAAAACCTCTGAGAATCTGCTCAGGAAAGGCATGATAAGACCCATGGCAGGAGGCTTGCATGACCAGGTAAGGGCCTGGTCTGTTCATCCTGTTCCTTGGTATGACACAGCCTTGGGACCTGCTTTTTGCCTTTGGGACCTGCTTTTTGCCCTTTCTTCTGCAGGCAGAAGCCTGAGACACCTGGCGGTATTGTCTTGTGGTTGAGCAGTGGATCTGTACTGATGCTGCCTTTTGCCTGGCCAGTCCAGGAGCCTTCCCACCCAGTTCTGCTCAGCACAGTGCCTGTCAGGACCTGTAGTGGGTGGCTTGCTTGTATGTTGCCTTCATGTCTTGTGTCAATCATATGTCAAGATCAAGACTAGAGATGGTTTTCTGTAGGGCAGGGCCTCTGCAGCATGGTCAGCCTTGGATGGAGAGTGAGCAGTGTTCGTACGGGAGGGGCTTGGGGCTGTCAGTCTGCCTGCCACGTCTGTGTGGTCCTGCTTAGGTCAAGGGCTGATTGTGAACTTTCTGATGAAGTATTTTTCTATCAAAATGTGAAAGATGATCAACGTAATTTCATTAACCTAACACTGAAGCTCACAGGAGATCCATCAGTGTGGCCTGCGTTTGTCTTCTGGGACCTTCTGCCTTGGGCAGACCCAAGTGGTGGACATCCCCAGCACAGGGGTGTCAGTCTCAAAGCTCTGTGACACAGGAAGACTCAACTCTAGACAATTTTAACTTTCAAGAGGTTTCGTTTCAGGGTTTTCCATCTGCTGGTGAGATTTTTTGGGTTTGAATTTTGTTCTTTCAGAATTATAAATTTTTGTGGAGGCCAGGTTCAATTTCCCAGCTGGCTGTAGGGGGTGGCCTGATTATTGTCTTCAGACTGCTGAAAATAGAGCACTGAAATGGTTTGCTGCTCAAAAGAAGTTCCCATTTCTCAGTCAGAAATGGTGTAGTATTTGGTTAGAAAGTCAGAGTTGCCTTCCCCATGTACAGTACAAGCAATAGTTTGTTTCCCGCATGTTCTCTGTAGAGATGCCATATCATTACAGAGTTTGCAAAGCCAGAAGCTTGCTCTCCTGCCTTGTATGCAGTGAGGAATTTGGCTCCAGATCATTTAACACAGGAGCCTGTGTGCCATCTCTGCTAAACAACAGGATCTTTGGCCCATGGGTCAGATTGGGTCAGTTCATATTTCCAGCCCATTTACCCCTCCCAGGGCCTGCACAATACATAGAGCACGGGGCAGGTTTCAGTCTAATTCTGGGTTTGTTTAATCTGGTTTTGTAAATAGTCTGAATTCTGCCTGGAATATTTATGATGTCTTCATAGCAACACTGTAATAAATATTTCTCTTAATAACCATTAGTTAAGTGCAAACACTAATCTTTGGTGTTACTGAGCAGGTAGGTGAGTCTCCAAAAGGCTGTGCTTTTAGGTGATGGCATAAATCTCCTGGGTATTACCCTACAAATGCGAATCTAATAATATTCTATTTTTATGCAATCAAGAGTCAGGAAAAATGTTGAAAGAGAGTCCTGCAGTGTTGCTGCCTGCTCACTGTGATAGATCAATGAGGAAAGGATATTTTCGATAATGTTAAAAAGGTTCTGGGATTTTTTATTTTTTTTTTATTTTTTTTTTTTTTAAATCTCTTTGGATCCCAACAGCGCTGTGAATGCCTGGGTGGAACATTTTCCCCTTCAGCCCATCTCCCTGTGTTAGATGCTTATCTGAAGTCACACTCCTCTTGGAACTGCTTACAGCAATTCAGCTTTCTGCTCCAGAGTTCGCAGAGTATCCAAGCTCTGTGTCTGGCTGTTGGGAGCCCCGTGCTGGCAGCTGCAGAGCTAGCTGTGCTCTCAGGCAGAGCCACGAGCTCCCGAGGGCTGGCGTGCTGGGGAGGAGATCAGATGTTCCTGCGAAGGAGCTGTGCAGCACCTGGTGCTGCAAATGGCCCCTCCAGACACGCGGCTTCACGTCGAGCTGGAAAAGAAATGAAAGATTTCTAGGACTGCTTCATGAAAGCGTACATGGAAAATTCAGAGCAAAACTGGGTCTGCAAGCTGAAGTTCTTGACCAGTTGCCTTGAAGACATTGTGAGGAGCATACTAGAACCAGCTGGTGTCAGAAAATGAATTGCTGTTGGGTAGCAAAAGCTTGAAGTGAGGCTGTTTGTGCAGTAGCCATGGGATTTCCTGCCCTCTCTGCCCCTGCGCAGCTCTGCAGGCAGGTCACAGGACAGAGCAGTGCCAGTCCTGCAGCGTTCCTTACCCTTTTCCCAGTGAGGCCACACTGTAGCACTGCTGGAGCTTGGGAAAGGTCTAGCCAGAGCGGGTGGGGATGGAAAGGCAGCTGTTGGGAATTAGACTTCACTCCCCTCCTTTGGGAAAGATGCTGCATCGGCCCTTTGTGTTCCCAGTGGTGCAGCTCTGGCGCCCAGGGCAGGGGCTGCTGGTGCTGCCGAGCCCCGTCCTGCAGCCCCTCTGCCTCTGGTGCCCGTCGCCTCTCCTGCCCCAGCCAAGCCCCGCTGCTGCAGGGGCCTTGGTGGCCTCGCTGTCCCCCGGCGGGTGGTCACGGTGCCAGCGCAGCCCCGCGGGAGGGGACACTGCCCAGCCGGCCCCGCTGTCCCCAACTGCCTGTGGGCGGCCGTGTCACCTCGCCCGTCCCTCCCCGGCGGCGGTGGCCTGCTCGGTGCTGGACGTGCCTCCAGGGCTGGGCATGAGCCTGGAGGGCCTGGGAGCCTGGCCCCGCAGCGGTTTGGCTGGCTGCTGCAGCCCCCGCGCCGAGGCGCCGGTGTGGTGCCTGTGTCCCCTGGCAGCGCTGGCCCCGAGCCCCACTGCCCAGTGGATGGAGGGCAGGCCAGCTGCTGCCGCCCAAAATCGAGGCTGCAGTCAGACCTGTTTCCATACGGAGGCAGCAGCGGTCGGGATGGCATTCTGCTTGCACCCGCCTTGAGCTCCGTTCCCAGCAAGGTTTGTTGGTGGCCACACTTGCTGTTCACCCATGGGGGGGGGGGGGGGGAAGGGAGACCCTGTGGTCACTCACAGGCACAGGGGTGTGTTTTCCAGAAAAGAAAAAATGGTGAGTCCTACCTTGACAGCAGTGTCCCGGAAAAATTTGCATTCAATGTCTGTAGCAATTTCCCCCAATCCCACCTTCTCCTAATTTTCTTTTTGCTTTCTTCAGCCTTACAAAGGACGAGTCCAAAAGGCCAAAGTATAAAGAGCTTCTGGTGAGTGCAAAGCGTGGCTGCCTGCGCGGGCCATTGCAGCTCCGCCGGTCCCGCAGCGGGGCTGGGTTGCGTGTCTGAGGTTGCTCCTTGTCTTCCTAGGCCATGAGGACAGGGTGTGCAGCTCCACAGCCTGAGGATGAGCACCACCTCCATGCCACTGTCTCTGGCCTGTGGTCATGGTGATGGTTGAGATAATTAGTGTCTGTACGGAAACACCGGAGATCAGCATGGGGTAAATGCCCAGTTGCAGCAGATCAGTGATTACTGAAGCGGGCAGGCTCGGGCAGAAGCATGCTGGGTGTGCCGTGTAAATGCTACCTTTGCTTGAGGTGCTGGTACTGTGCAGGAGCCTGGTTGAGTTTCTGGCCAGCACTGTCACGTGTAAATGCCTCCAACACACAGGTCACACAACAAAGTTGGGAGTGCTCGGGAAAAAGTGAGACCTGAAAGAGCACAGCTTTGGAGTAAGACACCAGCAGAGCCTGTCTCTGGTGGGGGCCCTAAAGGTGGGAATGCAGCAGTGCTTTTGGCTTGGATCAGTCACACTTGGCAACCGTGCATCTTCAAGGAGCTCTGGGCAGCTGGAAGCCACATCTTCAGGGGATGTGTGAAACCATGCTCTGGGTCCCTGATGGTGGTGGTGTGATGCGAACAGAGTTTGCCTGGTGTCCTGGCCCAGAGAGGCACTGTGTCATTACTTTCCAGCTGCTCTGAGTTGGGTCCAACCATTACGGCCTCCTGGGCAGAGCAGAGGGACAGGGTTCAGGAGGACTGGGTTTGGGTCCTGATCTCCTGGGGAGGTTTGACCTCCACAAGCCGTGTCTCCCTGTCACTCTTGTCTCCCCATTGCTGACGAGGCTGATGATGAAACCTCTCTTGAAAGTATTTCAGTACATGTCCATGCTACAAGGGAGCCAGGTGCTGCTAATACTTCACCCTCTCTGCCTCCTGCCCATCAGTTCCTGACAATGCCAGAGTCCTGTCCCGTCTCCATACTGTACATTTAAGATACAGATTCCCTGTATGTAAAATCCATGGACAAGGCATTATGTCCTGTTGTCCTACAGTCACCACCAAGGCCTGTGTTCTTGCATCAGGCAAATCCATACGCTAAGTTCTTTCTGGGGTAGCCAGCATGTGTCAGAATGTAACCTTGTTGTTTTTTCTATCCTATTCCAGAAACATCCCTTCATCCTGATGTATGAGGAACGCACAGTGGATGTTGCATGCTATGTTTGTAAAATCCTGGATCAAATGCCAGCAACTCCCAGCTCTCCAATGTACGTCGATTGATACTGCTGCTACATCAAACTCTAGAAAAAGGGCTGAGAGAAAACAAGCTGTAAAGAATTTTCATCACATATTGCAGTGTTTTTAATGCTCGCCCAGACACCATGTGCAATAATATTGGTGTTATTTCCATCCTGTCTGTATACTGTTGTCACATATAAAGTGCATCCCTGTAATACCTGATCACACAGTGTTAGTGTTGGTCAAAGAGAGACCTCATCTTGCTCTTTTGTGGACATATTCATGAAATGTGGAAATAAGTACATTCATTTGTTGACCGTGATTGGATAGCACCTAAAATTCATTTCTAGACTCAAAACTTGGAGACTTCTCAGCAGCTACTGGAAAGATTTTTCTCTCAAACTCTTCCAATTGTTGTTTCAAGTAATAATAAAAAGCAAACAAACAAAAGTTAGGCGTTGTTTGTCAACAGTAAGAGACTTTGCCTGGAGGGAGAAGAACTTGCTTAACCAACAAGATGCTTTGCCTTCTGGAGCTAGAAAGGCAAAGGAGAATTTTATTCTTCACAAAGTGCAATAGATTTACTGCTATGAAATTCTGTTGCTTTACAGTCGCAGTATACTTTCTGGGGACAGTGTGCTCAGCTGAACTTCCTGTTAAAGAGAGATCATGTTAAATATAGTGAATATGTCTTTACCAAAAATACGTTGCGTTGAAAGAGGCTAACATTAAACTATTCAGAGATGGGACATAATGTATTCTTTCTCCTTTTACCAAGCCAGCCACTCTTCACTCTTAACTAGGTGTCCTGTAAATTGTTTCCTGGTAAGATAAGACCTTTGACCTGAAGAATTATTAAACTACTCAATTGAATTTAACCTGCTTGTGACCTGATTTATAGCTGCACAGTGCTTACCACCAGCTGGCTTTGCTTTGACCTTGAGAAGTGTCATTCACAAAGTCTGCAGCTGTTTTAATGAGCTGCAAATGAATGTCTGTGATTTCTAGCCAATATTTCTCATGTTCTTCACTGTCCCCAGCCCCGATGCTAGCGCCTTTTCACTGACCCCAAGACCAGCCCAGCAGCCCTGCCACCTCCCAGCCCAGTGTCCCTCACAAGACTAAACCTCAGCGCTTCCTTCTCAGCACTGCGAACAGGACGGTGGGGGTGTGCCCCCCGCCGCAGTGGGGCTCTGGGCCTGCCCCGCTGCTGCAAATGTCACGCTCTGAGCTTGCTGGAGACTTTGTTCACCACCTTCTGGGCATATTCAGCTTCTTATGTGACCCCCATAGCTCTTGATACTGCACCCTGGAGCAAACCTCACTGAGATCGATTGATGCAGATAGAGAGGAGGTGGAGATGAGGGAGCATCTAACACCTTGTGGGCTTTTAGCTGACCCAGCAAGGTCAGGCAAGCTGTCATAGTCTGGCCCATTGCCGAGGTTAACAGTGCATCAGTCATTTATTTATTTTTTTACATTGCCATGTTTTTCAAAGATTATTTTTTCCCAGAAACATTTATTTTTTTCCAAAACATTGCAGTTTTCAGGCATTTAGAAGTGTATGGGGGATAAAATGGAGGCTACATGATCTCTGATTTCCATTTTGACTTTAGTTTAGGCACTTGGTAGGACTTCATTGATGTTAGAGCAACCAACGTGTCAAAGCTCTGCAGCAAAACTGGAACTGGGATGCAAAGGGCCAGAGATGCAATGGGAGTGGAAACGCAGCAGTACTGGCAGGATTACCAAGGAAGGGCTTCCCACGTCAAACCAGTGCTACCAAGCACAAACTGGGCTGATGCAGGAGCACTGGAGACCAGCACATCCCTGCCCCAGCTGCTTGGTTGGGAAAGGAGAAAGCCCGAATTTCTCCAGCCCTGTGGAAGGCTTGCGGCACTGCGCATCTCCCCCTTGGCTGTCGCAGCTGGTCCCTCTGGCACCAAGGCTGACCACGATGTGGTCCCTTCAGGCACAGTGTGCCCGGTGGGGCAGGGAGGTGCAGTCCTCCTGCCCTTCCTGGATTATCTTCCTTCAGGTCTGCTCATCAGGTGAGGCAGTCACTAAAGTCTTCCCAAAACAGACAAGGCAGAGCTGTCCGAAGTAACTAGTCATTCCCAACAGCGCTGATGAATCACGTGGAAGGATGTTGAACAAGATACGTAGCATATCTAAAGTGGTAATTCTCCCCCCAAGCTCTGTAGCCTCAGAAAACTCAGCTTTTCTCAGGCTGGGCAAATCCCACAGCTGTGATACCTCTCGCCAGCCTTCAGCCACCCGTAACGGGACCTCGGGCGTGCTGGGTCTCATGGGGTGCTGGCTGGGGGACTACACAGACACAGATCCTGTAAGGATAGGAGCATGCAGAGGTGCTCTGCCTCTGCCCCCACTTTTCTGACATTGAAGTCTGATTCACATCTCCCCGGTGTCAGGGAGCCCAAAAACCTTTCAGAGGGCTAACACTGAGATGAATCCTCCTCAGAATCAGATTCCCTCCAATGCAAGCGGCTTCCTTGCTCTGCTCTTTTGGAAAGGCTGGGGTCCATTCTCTGGTGCTGGCCCCGTCTGGAGCTCGTCTTCAGCAGCACAACCAGCTTGCTTTTGATGGATTGGAAATGGAAATGCGAAGCTTTGAGCTCCCAGTGACAAAGTCAGGGCTGAGGTGCTGTGGCATGGGTGGCTCTGCAGAAGGACAGGTTTAGCATATTAAGCATAGATTGTTATAAACTATTAAGGGTGCATCATTTATTAAAGTGTATCTTTATTAAAAAAGAAAAAAAGGTGTATAGTGTTCAGAAGCTGTGAAAATAGTATAAGAACTGTACATTGTGAATTCTGTTGTTTCTTTTTCTTGTACCATAGAAAAATGTATAAAAATTATCAAAAAGCTGATGTGCAGGGATGTTGCCTTACTGTCTGTAAAATGGAGCTCAGGAACATAACTGCTTCAAAGAGCTTCAGAATATTTTATCCAGTATCCTGGTTTGACTTCCTCTTCTATTTAAGATATTATACATGGATCAGAGTGTTTATGTAATAGTTCTATCCTTTTGCCTGCAGGTCAGTTGTAATAAAACTAGGATGCGACTGTGACCTTGTTATTTTCATTTTGTAAGGTCAGACTTGAATGGGAAGATTCATTAAAAGCTTTTGAAATGGCTTCCAGGCTTTCCTCCAGGTGGAGGCAGCTGTGCAGGAGAAAAGCAGCTTTCAAAACTGCTTATGCTAAATTTTTTTTTTTTTTTTTGAAAAAAAAAAACAAAAGAGTGTAGGGAGACCTGGATATATTTTCTTTCTGTGGAAGACTGCTGTGTCCTTTGTGCTGGTGGGGTGCCTCTCAGGTGAGCCCTGTTTGCTGCCCAGGGATGTTCTGCTGGCTCAGGACACCTCATCCCTGCAGGGAGGGCACATGGCTGTGCCCACGCTCTGGGGGAAGGGCAGCTGATGCTCACAGACTTGTGGGCTTCTTTAGTCTTGCAAAGTCCTGATGATCTGAGAGTACCAAGTCCTGGCTAGTTCCTACTGCCAAGCCTCCTGGTGCTGGGGTAAGTGTCTCTCCTACCTAGAAGCCATGGAGGGCTTGGAGACTGTTCAGTCAAGTGGGCAGAACTGGTCCTCAGCAGCACGACTGGGAAAGCAGACTGTGTCGGGGCAGAGGGACCCACCACGAGTGCCTGTGGTGCTCAAACTGGCTTGATGGGACTGCCCCAGGAGTGCCCAACTCAGTGAGGGGAGAGCCAGAGCATGCTGGCAGGGATCATTGGTCATACCACAGCTCAGGACTAGAAGTACTTATGAACCAGGGGAGCTACCTGGCATTGGCCTTTGCAGTGTCTCTTGGAGGGTGACAATTTTGTCAAAAGAAGAGAAGGCAGATAATGAAGGTGAAGAAAGTCTTGCTGCATAGAGATACACTGTGTGAAATGTTGGTGGTAGTTGAAGTCTGTTGGTTTGTATAAATTCAGTGTTTCCACCACACCAAGCCTTTTTCTGGAAGGTTCTTATTGCCAGCACGATACTTTGGGCATTTTGGGACCACCTGCTGTTCTCATTCTTCAGCCAGAATCCAAGATCCCTGATTTGGTGATCTCCTGGTAGAAGATAGGCTGACCACACACCAGGGAGAGGTCCTTCTCTTCTGGGCAGTTGCTGGAGGATCCAGATCCTCACCTTACAGCTCCTTTTTCCATGAATCAGAGCTGCTCTGGGATTCCTTTTGCACTGCAACCTGCCTTTGCTTCCTGAGATTGGCTCTCGAGGAAGTTGTCACAGATGAAAGAGCTGAAAGAAGCTGGTGGCTGGATGTGAGTCCACCTGCACATCCCTGCACTGGCTATTCCCATGCTCTGCAGGAGGGAGAGGATCCCTTTTGTCTCTTTTCCCCTGTGACTGTGTGACATGCAGAAGGGACTGTATGTGCAACCATTTCAATTCCTTTCAGTTGCCCTTTGTATGCTCAGTTTTATCTCCTGTGGACTCTTCCTTGCCCATATGGACTTCATTGCCTCCACTGAGGACTCCTGTTGTCTGTGTCACTGCTGAAGGCAGTACAGAAAACATCCAACCCACATCCCAGATGCTGCCGGTGTCTTAGACAGGACCCATGCCTGTGCAGTGCCAACTGTTGCTGCTCCTTTGAGCCCTTGGACAATTCCAACATTCCTTGCCTGAGTGACGTATGATGGCTTTCTCCAACCCTGGGGCTGGCCACCCTCCTACAGTCATCATGACCAGGTCCCTATAGCTTGACTCTGGCTTCTCCCTTTGTGCCACCACATGGGCTCTGAGGCTGCCCTGGTTTCTGTACTCAGTGCCAAGGCTGAGGAGCAGATATCTGAGCCAGCCTCCAGGTGGACTTTGAGCCATTGGCCGCTCTCTTTGTGCCTGGTTGTCCAGGCTGGCACCTCATACTAATTCCTCACACCCTTATTCCCATTTGCATGGCTGAGGCGCTTCTCAGAGCTTCACCAAGCATTATACAGCACCCAAAAAAAACATACTGTGCTCTGTTATGATTATTATGTGTCCATGGAACTCGAAGACCAGCTTTGAGGTTTGGATGAATTCAAACACGTCCCTGCCTGGACCCAAGCAGTATGAATGCAGATGGGCACCACAACCTATTCCTGCCAGGAACACTGTGAATTGCGTGGTCTGTACTTCCACTAATCTGCTTGGCTTCCCCTAGCCTTCATCCCAGCCTCTTCTCTTTTTTGGTGTCAAGGTAAGTATAACTGAAGTGCTCAGGCCTGGGTTAATACCATAGGTGCTGCTTAGAAAAAAAGGCTCCATTTTCACTTTGATTCCTGTTACAAATCACAAGCATGGTCATTGCTTTGAACATGTTAAGGGTCCAGGTAAATGAGCAGCTGCTCTGATGAGTAAGAAAGCAGCTCTTAAATTTTTCCATTATGTTTAAAGTTGTACAAATGTTTGGAGAACAGGATGAAGCACAAACTCCCTCTTCTGGAGATACACAGCACCATTGTTTAATTGTGAATAAAATAGCAGAGCAGGCTGGCTGACTGGACCATGGGGTATCTGCCAGACAGTTTGTGACTAAAAGCATGAATTCCAGATGGAAGGGCTGGACAGGCTCTACTGCCAGGAGAAAGTGGCACCACCAAACAACAAATCTCTGCTCAGCTGCATCAGAAGAGCTGGCTGCAGGGATGTTACTCTGCAAGTGTGTAGATGTGGCACAGTCCCAAAAGCTCATGCAGGCTCGGAAAGTAGAAAGTCTGAAAGGGTTTGGTGTGTTAGAAAGGCCATCTACTCACACTAGAGAAGACGTGCTTGCTTGCAAGGTTCTGTGTATTAAAGCCTATGGTATCCATGTGGGTGTCCACGCTTGTGCTTGTGTGGGTGCAGACATCAGAGCTACACCAAAAACCATCAGAGAAGGTGTTCTGTGTGAGTCTAACATCTTATTAGACACCAGACACTTTCTCTGGCTCATTGGCAGCCATGTCCCATTGTCCTGCCCAGAGCACTTCTGATCTGTCCCTTGTTTTCCCAATTTTGGTCCACGCTTGACATAAGTTAGCCATTTCAGGTAGTAAGACAAGAAGAAAATAACAGCAGCAAAATTCAGCTGCCTCAGTTCTTTCTATGCCTATGGGAAGAAAGCTTACTTTAGTGGCTGACCATGGAGGAAGTTCTTTCCCTTGGCCAGACAGGAGTTCAGTTTGTTGGATAGAGATGAAGCCAGCCAATGCTGCAGCAATCCAGATTATGTTCAATCAGATTATTCTGAGAAAGGGGTCATATTCTGCCTGACCTTCCAAGGAAAACAGGCTTCTCACCAGGTTCGGAACAGACTGAGACTGCATCTGCTGCAGCACACCGACAGCTTCACGATGGACTGATTCCAAGTGATTTGTCTTGAGATGCTGTTGCAGGATTCTAAGATGAGAAGAATGAGCTTCATTATGAGGCCCACCAGCCATTTACAGAACTGGTCCATGAGCCATCCAGTTTGTGACCACCTCTAATCCCACTGACCCTGGAGACATGCTGAGATCTCAGTGCTTCACAGAAACATGACCTGGGAATGCTGCTTCATGCGATCAAGCACACCCATACCAACTGAAGATGCTTTAAGAGAAAAAATACCAGAACATGGAGAAAACAATGATGGGTGCATAGTGGGAAGTTGTAGCTCAACCTTCTGCACAGTAGAGACCATGACTGTTCCTTTGGTTCCCTGCACAAGGATCCTGTGTTTCTTTCTCTTTCTCTATCTGGTTTAAGCTGAAAAAAACAGGAGGGAAACAAATAAGGAAGGAGAACAGAAAGGTTCAGATCCTGGGATTTCACATCATAATGATTTCCTGAAGACATTTGAATCTGATCCCAGTTTCAAGAGGTTGGTGGAAACCATGTTGAAATCTGGCTAATTCCTGCTTCATGCAGAAAATTCAGTGCAGCTGAAGCCACCTTTATGATGCGGTCACTGCCACTGATGTGTAATCTGAATGTAGGGGCATTTCCAGCAAGGTGGGCCAGAGCCACTTCTTCACATGGTGCTGCCTGAGGTTGGCACCAGGAAGGGGGTTACTTGTGTGGGAGAGGTTCAAGTGTCCCTGGAGAACACATTTTCTTACCAGATGAGCAATGTGGGAGAAGCTCCATGGCTTTTACTGAGGTCCCGTGTTTTTGTAGCTTTGAAGCCCACTAAATGAGGTGGTGCTGCTGCTTGTATGAGGCCACAGTCTTGTGCGAAACTATCAAAAGGGTCTCAGGACTTGTCAGACCTTGTCTGAATGAGTTTTAGCCTGCCTGCAGCTTTGCTTTAGCTTGTTTAGCTGTAACAGCAGCTATTTAATGACAAGATGATCTTTACTTGTTTTGTTTTATCTCTCCTACAACTGTGTGATGTAACACATTGTTTTGTATATATTTTGTAACTAACAGCTAGTAATACCAAGTAGTGCTGTGTATAAATAACTATCTATGCCTCTGTAGTAAAATGCACGGTAGAGGACTACAGGCATGGGATCACAGCAGGGGCCTGAAGGAACAGGAACAGGATGATGCTGGAGGCCCCAGGTCTATAAACACCTCATCAGTGGCCAGCCACTGGTCACCAAAGGAGTGTAATTTAGGGGGTAAGGTAAAACCAGCCATAACCAAGGAGAACAAGGAACAAGCCCCTAGCATATGTAAATCACACCAAGTACAGTAAATTCAGATGTAATGTGGAGTTATATACCAAGGAAGAATGAGCGTGACAGTTAGCAAAGGTGTAAAAATTACCCTGGTTTCCTACAGCTGATTGTAGAGGGAGGAGGAAAAGACCCATCAACATCAATATCTTTGCTTCTTCTGGCAAAGACTGGGGATGCTGACTTATGCCATGGCACCCCACACCCTCGTCCTTCAAGCTAAAAGCCCCAGAGAGGTAGTGAAATGTGAGAAGAGTCCCCAAGAAAGGGTGGGAGAGGGAAAGCGGTAAAAGGAGGTCTGTGAGCACTGATTTTAATTGTATGTAACACAAAATATTAGTGTCATTGTATCTGGTCTAAAACTATTTTTTTCATTCAACTCTTAAGACATTAATGAAACTAACAATAAATTCATGACTTTGTATAAAAATCTGTTTCTGTTTGCATACAACAAAATTTTGAGTATAAGAAATTTGCAGGAATACAAGGAACTTAGTCCCTAACTTGCATGCAACAAGTTGGTAGAAGTTTAGAAGTTTGACGGGAGTGCTGTCATCTGTGAAAGTCATCTTGTCCTCCCGTGGGTAAGCCAAGACGTGCAGATAGCTTTGGTGATCTCAGAAAGGCCCTGGCCACACAACCATATCACTACCAATGCGCCAGGCTGAATAAGTGTCTGGGCTTTCAAAACCAGGTGTTGACTATGTTGAAGCCCCCTGAGAACCTCAGTGCATCCTGCACAGCCAGAAGTCCTTCTTCCTTGGTGGCCTCCTTGTAGGTGTTGCAGAAATGGGGATGACAGTAGGCCAAGGGGGTGCGGAGGGTCCATGGTCAGAAGCAGCCTTGGTCCCCCCGCCGAGTGAGTTTGGGTGAGAGGCAAGTAGGGGCTTTGGGGGAACTGGCCAGGGGTGAGCAGAGGGATCTGGATGGTTGGTGGGTGTCAGTGTGCTTGGAGTGGGGTGAGGGAGGATCCTGTGCTGCTGAGGAGAAAGGAGGGGGCTGTACGCGCTGGTGCAGGGGGTAGTGGGGGCACCGCGTGGGTGATGAGGAGCCAGGGCCTCCTGTGCACTGGAGGAGCCCGAGGGCCCCTTGGTTGGGAGGCAGCTGGAGAGGGCTGGGCTGGGGCTGCTGTGGGTGCAGGGGAGGCATTGGGGTGCAGCAAGGGGTGCTGGCGGCGCTGGTGTGGGTGTCGCAGGGCGACAGGGAAGGCACCAGCAGCAGCGGTGCTGGGCTCTGGGGATTCCAGTCTCCTCCATGCTGCAGGGGTCTGTGATGGGCACATGCAAGTTCCTACCTCTGCCACATCCTCATCCAACATATACCCCAGGGCAGAGGGTAACCCTTCTGAGCCTGGAAGGGCTGAGAAACAGGTGTTTCCCCATGTCACTGGGGAGGGAAACTGCGCCTAAAACATGGATTGTCCTGATCTGGGAGCTGGAGGAAAGATGCTGTTGACATCTTAGTGCCTCTCGCGGAGGAAACACTGGCTGGCGCACTGAGCCAAGCATCTTACATTTAAAAAACTTGTCAAAGGCATGAAAAATGTTAATTTGACTCTTGGAACACTTTTTGGCTTGCTTTGTATTTCCTATATTTTCCAGACTGGAAGACCCAGTGAGAGTGGAACATCACTGGGATGCTCCAGCTCGGTGTCAACAGTAGGAAAATCCCAGGACCTTGAATCCCTTGGGGCAGCCTGGGTGGGAAAATCATCCACGCATGGAAGGCTGAGTGGTGTGCCCCAAGGCAATGGGAGGAGAGGGCATGACCTGTCCTGCCAGCATGGCCCAGGCTTTCCCAGGAGGCTGCTCTGGTGGGTCTGCAGAACCGATGGCTGAGGTTGAGCTCCTCTCCAGGTAGAGGAGGATTTCTGCTGGATGTGACCCACAGTGCCTGGAAGACCTCAGGAGACCCTTGATCCCTCTCTCTGCCCCACAGCAGAACCTTGGTCTGGATTCAGCCTTCCCAAATGTTTTGCTCCAAACCTTGGCACCTGACAAGCATCTTTCCCACACTTTAAAGCTGCGACTGCCTGTACCACTCACCTTGCTCTTTGCCTGTTACAGTGGCAGACTGGCAGCACGTCCTTCCAGCTCCTTTTCTGCAGGTTGAACAACACAGGCAGGCTTTCCTCAACGGGCAGGCAGGACAGGTGGGTGCTCCAGTCCATCAGTATTCCCAAAACAATCCTAGACTGAGGCTCGTCTTCTAATTCTCTGAGTAACCTTAATCTGGCTCGGTCCAGGTAGTTTATCACATCATGCTTAGTTGCAGGGTGTGGTTTAGAGATTAAAAAATGTTCACAGGAACTATTAATTTTTTCTTCTACATCTTTTTAGATTCCCTTCTGCAACAACATTTCAACTTTTAAGCCCATCTGTGGGCACACAGGCAGTCCCCTTCTGCAAACAGGTAGGTGAATGTCCTGGGAACTCTTTTTTAATTAAAGGAAAAATGCAGTGAATGTGGAAGCTGCCACTAATGGGTACCGGGGAGAAGGAGCCAGGGTCCCCCCTGGGAAAGGTCTCCAGCCTGCTCTGCCGCTCACCTGTGGGCAGCGGGAGGTTTGGCTGTGGGGGGCTCTGCCCGTGCCCCCCGCGGGCCCTTTGGCCAGCACCACACCACGGGCTAGCAGCTCTGCTGCTGGAAAATGCAAAGGGGTTTGGGCAGGGTGCCCACCACTGCCTGTGAAGGGGACACAGACCCGAGGAACGGGGTTTGCAGGAGAACAAAGGAAACCAAAGCCAACAGGAGAAAAAGCCTTTAGAAACAGATTCCAGCTAGCTTGTTTAGAAATCTTCCAGGAGAAACTGTTACTGTGAATGAAATACTTCTGCTCTTGCAAGGACTATAGCTGTTCCAGGGCATGGGGCTAATACTGGCTGGGATGGCTGTGGCTGCTCTAGCCAGTGAAATCAAATAGCAAACTGCAAGCAGACGGAGTGACAAGACAAAGGGGTTTTTAATAATGAAGGTGTTGCTGGTAACATAGGTAAGAAAATGTGCTTGCTTACAAGTTTGAAGCTGACAGCATCCCTTTAAATAAGGAAATACATTTGCTGAGAGGAGAAAGTTATCTGGAAAGCCCTGTACAATGACGCAGTGTAGCAGCTAACACTACTCTGTTTCAAGTGCTATTAATATTCTCCATGGACCAACTTTGAAAAACCTCTCACTTAGAAAAAGACATTCTTTAAAAAAAAATTGCAACCTGTGATTGTCTATCCTAGCAGTGCACTGTGACCAGTTGTACAATAGAAAAGTGGTGCTTTAAATAGTGACTTGAAAGCTACTGCCACGTGCTTTACACAGCATGCAACAACGCCACGAACTGGAGACACAGCAGGGGCTGCAGAGCCTCCTCCAGCAGCTCCAGCATCCCTGGGGGGAGCGTCCCACAAAAGCCATGGCCAGACTGCCCGCAGGCCCCTCGTGCCAGACCTCCTCCCCAGCCGCTGCATCACCGATGTGCTGTCCTTCCAGTAACACAAATATTAAATACACTCAGTCTGTAAATAGTTTAACAATCTTTGTCAGCAACAATATTTACTTTGGCAAAACCAGAATTGCAAAGAAGTAGACGTGTCCATCTAACAGTCTGCAGCAAGTTCTTTGGTGGAAGCCAAGAAGTGGAGCAAAGGCTCCTTCTCAATAGAGCCTGAGGAAGTATATTGCACAGAGACTCATAGGAGAAATGCTGGTGACTTCAAACAGGAGGCATCACTGCAGGAGAGCATCCATCTCTGCCAGCTTCAGGAGAACTAGCTCCTCCAGGCTCAGTGATTCACAGCTGTTCTCCGGATGGCCTTGCTCTGGGCTGAGTGAACAGTGACACTGGAGTAAACTCGGGAAGAACAGGATGACTGCTGGGGATCAAGGAGGAATGGGAAGAAGGACGGAGGGGTGGATGGCAGAGGAGTGGAGGCAACAAAAGCAGACACTCACACAAAACCAAAGCCATGCAAGGGCCCGCTCAGCTCTGCCCCACGTGCCAGTCGCTGTGTGTCCATTTCTGGCTCCCCCTGCTCCCCGGTCATGCAAGGTGGTAGAGAACCATCCTGACTTCTGGCTGTGTGAAGGTCAGCCCCTCCAAAGCCTGACTGCATGTTCCATACAACTTGCACCTACCTTGGACCAAAACACATCACACAGCTCTCTCTGTACCATACCAGCTGGGACACAGCAGCTCCAGCAGGATCCCACGTCCCCTCGATACCTGCACCTGCACCCCAAGCAGCCGCCTCCACCGTCCAGAGGTGTCTGCTCCAAGGTCACAGGCTTCACCCTGATTCACCTCAGCCTGCAGCAGGGACAGCTCCTGGGCTTTCAGCCCCGCCCCAGGTGCCAGGAGACATGACAAGGTGCCACCAGCCCCGGGGTGGCCTCCATCCCTCAGCCTCCTGGAGCGGGGCTGTGCAGGGCTGGGCGATGCAGCTTTGGGGGCAGCAGAAAGGAAGCAAGGTGAGCCTGGCTGTGAGAAGAAGTGTGCTTGTCGCCCTGGCCAGGCAGAGCCTCCCTGCTCCCACACCCCCCAGCCTGGGCATGGCCAGGGTGAGCCCAGGCTTGCCTAAAGGGCTGGGCAGGCAGTAGGAGAGTAGAGGAGAGGGCAGGAGGGGGCTCTCCTCTCCATGATTTCCCATTGCCACCCAGGTGAGGTCTCCTCACCACATAGTTTTGTCATGAACTTCTCCAGTTCTCACAAGAGTGTCTGCCAAAACTGGGGAGGGGGGGTGTGTGTGTAGGGGGTGGGGGGTGGGGGGTAGGGGGTGCGGGGAGAAAGGTAAAAGAAACAAAACTGAAGTTCTTGTCAATCCAATGAAGTGTTGTTAAAGGCACAGGTGTCCTCTGTGGGGATGTGTCAGTGGAGGAAACCAAAGTACCAGAGCTGTTGTGCTGTCAGTTTGCATTAACTGGAAATTCAAAGAAGTTTATATGCTGGGAAAATTACTCCAGTTTCCCCTGGATGTGGCACGTTAGCCCTATGTGTTCTCTGACAGGGCAGAAACACTGTGCTGGCTGCTGCAGGCTTACAGTATCCTGCCTCCACCATTCTCACTTTCACCACTGCTGCAGGTGCAGGTCCATGCTGGTGTTTAGATTGAGATCGGTAACATCTAAGAAATCGATGTTGAAGATGCTGGGACCTGCAGGGGTGAGCGAGCCAAAGCCGGTGGCGGAGCTGGGGGGGGTGAGGTCCAGCCACTCCATCGTTTCCCACGGAGACTCAGTGAAACTCATTTGTAAACCGGAGCCATCAGCAGGGGAAGGGGAGAGCTGGGTTTCCATGGGTGAGAGGGGAGTCTGTAAAATCTCCTGGGAGGTGAGCAGTTCGTCTGCAGCTTTGCCGGAGAACCCCTCCATCATCCCTTCGAAGTGGGACTCTTCTCCCCCCATCTTCAGCAGGGCAATTTCACTGACCCTCCCCAGGGGGCTGTGGGCATTCAGCAGGACCTCCAGGTGAGCATCACTGCTGCCCGGACAGTGCTCAAAGGAGAGCTGGACTGAGGAGACCTGCTCGAATGGGGTGGATGACTTTGGGAGCGAAGCACTGGAGTTCCCTGTAGACACCGTTATCTGAGGTACTTTCTGGAGGCAGGACCGGTCTTCTTTGGCATTGGCTGGCATTTCTGTCAACAAATGAGAGGGGCTTGAGATGCTCTGGCAGTGCCCACCACTGCTGGGCACAGGGCCACAACCACGGCCCCCCAGCTGGGCTCTTGGGGATGCCTCTGGATACCCACTCCCTGCTCAAGCCCCTTGGCATTACTCGCCCACCCTCCCTGTGGGAAGCCTCGCACGTTCCTGCTTTCTGACCTTGACTCCCCTGGTTTTGGACACAGTCCCTAGGGCATGAGCACTGGCAGCTGTTCCCATGGGGCTGGGCATGGGTTGTGCCTGGGAAAGGGCACGGGCAGCACTTTGCACAAGGGAGGGCACTGGCAGTGCTTTATGCGGGAGATGGCACTGGCAGCACTGGTATAATGGTGGGAGACACTGGGGGCTCTGAGTGGGGAGGGTGCTGGCAGTGCTGTGCTGCACAGGGCTGCCACCCCACCGTCTCTTCTCCCTGCGCACTCTGCATAGGTGATAACCAAGCCCGGAGCACCTCACCGGGCCTGCAAACGCAGGAGCAGACTCTGGGAGGGCCAATACGCTTTTGGGCTCAATTTTGGTGGCTGCTGGCACAGGTAGGGCAAATGAAAGCTGTATTGAACTCAGGCAGCTCTGCTGGGGTGCACAGAGTGCACTGAGCCTCATTGGCCAGCACTGGCTTGGAGGGGAAGCCCTGGAGGAATATAGGGAAGCAGTGCGTACCTCCGCTCTCAATCAGCACGTCCAGGAGCTCATCCATCTGCTGACTTCGTGTCATCTGCTGCAGCAAACGACAAAGAGGAGAGTAGAGGATGTTAGGAGGAGAGAGTCCCTCTGGCCACAAGCCATGTAGGTGGCTCTAGACCCCACAAACAGCTTTCTCTTGTGCAGGAGAGATGCCACTGCAATAGAGCTGGCAGTGGCATTCAGGTGAGTACTGCAGGGACCTGGGACAAGCATGGAGGATCCAGGGAGCACAGCACCAGGCTTCCCCTGCCCTACTGCTGACCCTCTGCTCAGTGGCCACCACAGACTGCCTCTTCCCAGGGCCATCAGGACACACTGACTTTTTGGACCCAGTACCTCACACTGGCGTGTGCCTCCTTGCACTCCCTGCCGCCTCCCACACCGTCATCCTTCTCTCCCTGACCAGAGACTGGAAGGACTTTCTGCCAGTCAGCATAAGCCTGTTTCTATCACTGCCAACAGCATCAGTCTGTTTTCCTCAAGGCACCATCACGACCAGCACTGAGGCTGCTGACAGACTCTCACAAGAAGTAAGGGGTTCATGGGCGATGGGGACAGTCCTCCCCATGGGAACAGAGCTCTGGGGTAAGGCTAAGGGAGGCAGATGGCATGGAGCGGGCACAAGAGGGAAGGTAAGGTTTCCTGGTGACTTGGGAATGCTCAAGAGCCTGTTTCTCACATCACACTGAGCACCCCAAAGAAGAGTACACCAAAGTCCTGGGGTATTTGTGTGGGATACCAAGACCCCAGTGTTGTCTGGCGCCTTTCATCAGTACAGAAGATGCCATCCCATCCAGCGTGGTGTCTGACTGCTTTGTAGCAGTCATTCAGCAATTTGCTCTTCAAGAAAAGGCTGTTCCTCATGGAAACAGGCCTATCCTACCCATAGACCCCATAACGGGTTGTAACTCCTGCAGATGAATTACATTAGTTGCAAAAGAATGCCCTGCACAGCCCTAGCCCTATAGAAAATAAAAATCATGCAGTTACCTGCTTTACTGCATCCTCATAGGGTGGAGGCTGCTTTACCTCTGAGAGGGCTGGGCTTGACTTACAAAAACTTGGGGGTGGAATAGAAAACTTTTGACCTGCCTGCGTAGCCATCTGCGTGGGGGAAATACAGGGAAATGGAGTCAATGCACAGTGAGGCACGTCAGGGGGCCCAACTCTCACCCCTGCTGAAGCCAGTGTGGTGCCAGGGGAACTAGCGATTTCGTGGGTCACATCAGCTCAAAGTGCCTGGCCTCTGGGCAGGAGAGGGGGACGTAAACTAGTGCCGTCAGGCTAGCTCTAAGATGCAGGGCCAGGCTGACCTCCAGCACTGCCGGAGTGCCCGCTGATGCCGCAGAGCATCCTGGTGCTCTGTGCAGCCCCGAACGTGCAGAGCAAGAGGGAGAGAGAAACGGGCTGCTGGTGGTGGGCTGCACCCAGCTAGTGATGCAGCGCTTCCCTGGCTGCCAGCAGCCTCCCAGCCCTCTGCTGGGGACCCTCTCCATCAACGCCTGCCCAGTGGCACCTCACACAGCCCAGGCCAGGGAAGGCCACTCAAAAGAGTCACTGCCAGGTCAGAACTTAGGCTTTCCCTGTGCCTGTGCCAAACACCTACATATCAATGCAAGCTTTTCGACGGTCCCACCCTTCCAGGAGGGACCTCATCTGAAAGTCCAGTGCCTGCCAGCTGCTGTCCCCGTCACCTCTAGGCCCTTGCGTGCCCTTCCCCACCACCTGGTCGTGGCTGCCTCGACCCATGAGATCCGGTGGCAGAGGATGCAACATGGCCCCAGCAGGTGGGTCGGATCCAGAAGTGGATCCAAGGCAGCGGTGAGGCCACTCAGCCTGGATGTGCACATCCTGGCCACCTTCCCACGGAGGGCAGCTGGGACGGACACGCTCCCTGGCTTGTGGAGGATGGCACTCCAGTGCTGGGCACAGAGAGGGAGCTGTTGCTGAAGAGGGACCCTCAGCCCTGGGAGCCCCTTGCAGGCAGAGGAATACCCAGGATGGGTGGTGCCACAGCTGGGATGAGCTGCAGGACACCGTGGGGCCATTCCATCTGTATGCCCCCTGCGCTCGGGCAGAGAGGCAGGAGCTGGAGTTGCCCCTGAAGTGTCGCTGCCCTGTGCTGATGGTCGCTGACTGCTGTCTGGTCATCCGGAGCAGTGCTGCTGCCTCTCTTGGCGTATCACCTCACAGCACTGTCCCGCTGCCTATTGCACCTGCAGCTCCTCCCCATTGCCCAGCTCACCTCTACAGCTCTGTGCCCTGCTGCTGCGGTTACCCACTGCATCCCACTGCCCACTGCATCCCCTGCTCTCTGCCTCACTGCCCAGCTTATCCTCAGCGCTGCTCCCCATCACCCAGCTCACCCAAAGCAATTCTCCCCATTGCCCATTTCACCTCAGCAGCAAGCCCCACCGCCTACCTCACCCCGACAGCCCAGCACTCCAGTGCCCATCCCACTGGCAGCACTCTGTCTCTCTGCCCCTCTCACTCTAAATTGCTCCTCATTGCCCACCTCACTGCCAGTGCTGTGCCAACTGCCCCTATCACCTATCTCACCATCCTCTGAATGGCTTAGAGACAACGCTGCCTTCCACTTTCTGCCACCTCGCAGCACTGCACCCCACTGCCCAGCTCCCGCTGCCCCCTGCTCGGCGTGCTACCCGCGGGCAGCTCACTGCCCTGCTCGTGCGCTGGGTGTTCCGCAGCGGCTGTTGCTCGGCTCTGCGCCCGTTCTGCACTCTGTGTGCACTCGCTGTATATCTTCCCCGAAGGCAGTGTGCATGCCTTGCACCACTGTGTGCAGTTTACAGATTGTATGAGAGGTGTTGCGGCTGCCTGGGAAACCCTGGTAGGGTGTTGAGGCGAATTTGGGCTGTGACCTTGTGCTGCTTTCGTGTGTCGGCAGTGTGTGCCCCTCTCCAACCTTTTGTACTTGTCCAGAAGGCTGAGTGAGGAGTGGTGGTTGCTGAAGGCTCAACTCTGTTGTGCTGGTTGGCAGGTGGGGAAGCACAAGCTCTATCTGACTGCAGACCCCAACTACAAGCCCTTCTCTATCTTCCCAAGAAAAAGCTTCCCATATGACTGGGGTGACTGCCTTCTTTCAACCCAGTGGTCAAAATCCTTCACACACTGCTAGGAACTGAAATGGCTCAGAAAGATGATGAAAAGCCCTGAAACACTGCAGTGGCGAATTCCCAGGGGCGTAGGAACTGTGCCAGGACTCTCCCAGGGGCTAAGGGATCTGTACTGGTGCATCCTTGCAGTGGATAGAGCTGTGCCAGGGCTCAGTGGGGCAGGAGGATCTGTGCCAGGGCTTCCCCAGGGTGAAGAGAACTATGCCAGTGCTCCATGGGGCAGGAGGAGCTGTGCCAGGACTCCCCCAGGGCCACAGCAAGCTGTGCCAGGCCTCCCCTGGAGGGGAGAAGCAGCTGGGTTAGGGTTCTTTTAGGGCAGAATAAGATGTGCCAATGCTTCCCCAGGGCAGAGGAGCTGTGCCAGAACTCCCCAGAGCAGAGGGAGCTGTGCCAGAGCTCCATGGGGCAGAAGATGCTCTGCCAGGTCTCTCCCAGGACACAGGGAGCTTTGCCAGTGCTCACCCCGGGGCAGAGAGAGCTGTGCTGGGGTCCCCTGGGGAAGAGGGGAGCTGTGCCAGGGCTCCCCCAGGGCAGAAGAAGCTGTGTTAGGGCTCCGTGGGGCATGGGAGCTGTGCTGTGGCCCCCAGGGCAATTGGGTGTGGTGGGAGCAGGGCTCCCCCGAGGATTCCCTGCAAAGAACCCCGCAGTGCCATCAGCTTCCAAACCGTTCTCCATCTGGGACACACTCTGCCTTTCCTGGCAGCCCCACACGCTGCCACGGCCCCCTCAGTGCCCACCCTGGGTGCCAGCAGTCCCAGTCTGATAAGAAAGGACTCAAACTGGGATGTTTGACTGACTGCCCACAGACACCGGGGTGTCCACCACTGCGATGCTGTCTGGGGTGCTCTCCACTTACCGATGCTGTTCGAAGGCAACTGTTGGTCTGCGGGGACCCGCTGCGCCCTTCTGCCTGTGAGCTGGGGGACACCGAGAGGAGATAGTGGCTGTTGGGGGACGGCGGCAGGCTGATGTGCTGGGGGCTCTTAGCAGCACCGAGTGGAGAATGCTGGGGGGAGCACTGAGGGCTCAGGAATGTCGAGGAGGTGATGGTGCTTTGCCCTGCAGGCTCCAAGCAGTGGCTATTTACAACGTGAGGCAGCTGCGGCACCCCACAGTTACTTAACTTATCCGAGCTGCTGGCTTGGCTTTTCAAGGCAGTTTGTTTGGATGCAAACGGACAGCTGGACACTGCATTTTCTTGCTTGATGGGGACACCAAAGAAATGCTGAGCAGGCTGCTGCTTCTCCTCAAGGCCATTGCTTCTCTTGCGCTTCTGGAGCTGCATCCGTAGCTCTTCCACCTGCCTCTGCTCTTGCTGCAGCTTCCACGTGAGCTCATTGATGACCTTTTGCTTCTCCACCAGCATCTTGTCTTTCTCTGTGTCAATCCCTTCCAGCTCCAACTGGATGCTCCCTCCATTCATGCTGCTCATGAGACTTTCTTCAGCACTGCCATGAACCGGAGATGGCTGGAGACCGAACTGTGGAGAAGACATGGGCCCATCGTTGAATGTGTCTGGCAAAGAGCCGCTCACAGAGAGGTCAGAGGAGGCTGGGGAGATGGGTGGGGTGGAGCTGGTGCTGCCAAAGTGGTAGAAGCCATTCGATAACATGCTGGTGGAGGATTGCGACTGGTAACTCGACAGGGTGCTTGTTGGAGTGACGGGGAAGGTGACGGTGGTGATCTCACTGAAGCTTGGCACTGCATTGCTGCTGCACTCCTGGAAGGGCCGCAGTCGTTCCATCAGTGCTGTTTTGGTACCCGACACAGGCAAGCCTCGTATTCGGAGCTGCTGTCTCAGTTCTGATACCTAGAAAGAAAGCCACCAATGATCAGTCCCAATGGCAGATGGGCCCTTTAGAAACCCAGCATTTCTAACAAAGAGTCTCAGATCACAGGTCTCCCAGATTTCTGCTTTAAAGCTCTGACCCCCTAGGTGCTCACTGCCTCACCTGCAGTCACCAGCGTCACCATGCACAGCCCTGATCACTGCACATCCTGCTTCCTTCTTCCTCCAGGAACTGTGACTGCTCTTCATGAACCAGCAGTGGTCCTTGGGCCATGGAGGTGACTCAAGATTCCCTTCCTAGCAGTAGGTTTCTACATGAGCAGAACAGGAACTAGCTGATGGCATTCTTTAGTTCAGAGAATGTGACTGTGTGCCTTGGAGCCATATAAGCCATGTTCAGGCATCTGCACACAATTTAGGCTTCTGAACTAAGGCATCGCTGTGACCAAATTCATGTTGTTTCTACTTCATCTTATTTCTTTCTCTAATAATGAATATTGCTCCATGCCTCTGAGCCTTTCTCGTGGCTGAGGCTCCATTAGCAAAGTATAAAAGAACTATTGAGGTGAGTGGTCCTCTCTTATGCCCTGCCTGTCTTGCCTACATGAGAGATTTAGGCACTGTTCAAAGCAGTGCTCATAGCTGCAGATGCCAGGAGATACCTGCTTGTGCAGAGAGCTGAGCTGGCCTGGCTGTAATGAACACTGAGAAGCTGAGTGACTAAGTGGAGGCCATGCTGACCTACTAGCTTCTGGCTGGTCTGCTAGCCACATCCATGCTGTCCACCATAAAAAAACGGAAGATATGGAGCCATGAGCTGCAGGAGCAGCAGCACAGATTGTCGTTTAGTCCTTGACCTGATGGTCTGGCCTGCAGACGTTTTGAGTTATACCTCAGGTCTGCTGATATATGCCCTGGAGCAATCCACCCAGTTCCTGATCCAGTGTGCCGTACTCCTGGGTTTGTCCACAGCATGGTGGTTCTGTAGTGCCAGCTCAGCCTGCAGCACCACGCTGCATGCTTCAGGGGTAGCAAAGCACATTCGGGCTATAAGATTGTGCTCCTGTAGTGACAAAGTTTGTACTTACTTTCAGATCATCCAGGTTAGATGGCAGAGGGCCTGGCTTGATAGATGAGACACAAGTCTGGCCTGAAAAGGTGGTTTTCACAGGAGAAAGAGGGGTGTTGTTGACAGAAGTTGATGAAGAACTTGAACTTTTGACCATTTGCTCATTTGATTGCCTGAAATAACAAAGGAGATTTGGGGTAACTTATCTGTCCCCCTGGGGTCTCTGTGCCCACTGTACCACCTCTTTTCTCCCTTGGGACTGCTATCTCCTGTGTGAGACCTGAAGGGCTGCCAACCCCAATGAAAACCAGGTTGGGCTGTAAGGAGATTGCTGGTGACCCACCAGCAGGTCACAGGCCCCCCAGCCAGTGCACAAAGCCAGAACGGCTTTGCAGGAGACTGCTGTTCCCAAGCTTTTATCTTTCACTCGCATGCATCTATCTCCCTTGCACTGTCACAAATGAGTACAGTAGGGGAAAGGTAGGAGAAAGACAGGACTGACCCCTGCTATTGGCACATTGCCACTCACTTTAGCTGGCCTTGGTGCATCCCTGGGTAGCTGAAGTGCTGCTGCTGCTGCTGCTGTTGCTGCTGCTGCTGGCTGAGGATCTGGAGCTGCAGAAAGAGCTGCTGCTGCTGGAGGAGTCTAGCATATGCAGAATCCATGGGTGGAGGGGACTTCTCTGCCTTCTGGTCTGGAGGGATGTACTGGTGATACTTCAGCTTCTTCACCTTGGGCTTGGTGTCCTTGGGCTTTTTGTGACGGTTCTTGCCATCACTGGATGATTTGGACTGTTGGTCCAAGAAGGAAAAGTATTAGCTGGGGGAAGAGCTCCTGCTACCCCTGTGGGAACTCAGAGTCCTGGGACAGAGCAAGGGCAGCTCCTGCCAGCACCCTGACACTCCAGCTCCGAGAGCTGCTGATCCTGCCTGTGGGGGACTCCCTCAGGGCCACGTCCCATCTCAGTTGTGCTGGAGAGCACATGAGATATGACCCTCCTCGCCTGGAAGGTACTGCAGTGTTGCTTTGTATCTCCTTCTGCTCCTAGCCTCAGGGGCTGTTTCCAGTGCAGAACCTGAACCAAGCTGCAGTTGCTGACAACAAGGCTTGTTCCCCTGCATTATTCTAAGCCTTTAAGACCAAACCCCCCAGACCTCCCCACACATAGGGAGCAACACAAGGGTACTTCAGGCTTGGATGCAGCCGGGTGCCCTGGGCTTGTTCCCGCTCCCGGGCAGCTGGAGGCACAGGATTACCTTCATGGTGGAGGGCACCGACAGGGTTGGGCACTCCTGCCCTGCTGTCTGCTTGGGGCTGTCACAGTGGCTGCTCTGCCCTGAGGCTGGGTCCAGTGCATGGCCCTCGGCACTGTGGGGGTGATCCTGCAAGGGAGAGGCGAGCCCCGCGATGGGTGGGCGAGGGGATGTGGGGCTGGTGCTTGGGGGCTGGCCAGCCTGGCCAGCCTCTGCCTGAAAGGGGCACCTGGCGCGCCATTCCCCCCTGCCCCATGTTTCCATCAGCTCCCCAGTCGATCCCAGATGCCTCAGTTCACCTGAGTCCCCCCAGCCCACTGTCCTCATTCCCCAGGCTACCCCAGTTCTCTGTCTCCCCAGTCCATCCCAGTCCACCCTATTCTCCAAGCCCTCCCCATTCCGCCGCATCCCTGTGCCCTTACTCCCCACCCGATACACCGTTGGCTCCTCGGTGTCCCCCCAGACTAGCCCTGTCCCCCCCCAGCCTACCTATGGTTGTCCCCAGTCCCTTTGGTGTGTCGCGCCCCTACCTCCCCCCTCGCCCCCCAGTCCACTTCAGTTCCTCCCAGTCCCCCCAGCCTCCCTCAGCCCACTGCAGTTCACCCCAGTCCATCCCACTCCCCCCAGTCACTCCAGCCCCCCCCCCCCCCCCCCCGCCCCCCCCCCCAGCCCGGCCCCGCCGCCCGCCCCGCCTGCAGTGCCCGCTCCGCCCAGCAGGGGGCGCGGCGGCCCCGTGCAGCCCCGCGTCTGCCCGGGCGGGGCCGTGGGGCCCCCGTGGGAACGGGGGAGGGGGAGCCCCGGCGTGGGGCAGGGGGATGTGGGTCCGGCCCCGGGACACCCCGGCCAGGCGGGGTGCCGTGGGTCCTACCTGGGGCACCGCAGCAGGCGCAGCAAGGGCTGGCTCCGGTGCCTTGGTGCCTGCCGCCAGCTCGGTGGAGCCCGGGGAGTCCTCGCTCCTGGCCTGCTCCGGGGACAGTCCGTCGTTGCTGCTGTCCTCCTCGAAGGCGAAGGCGTCAGCCGCCTTGGGGAAGCTGACCTGGGTGCCTGCCAGGGGAGAAGGGGCGATGGTCGGGGCCCTGCGCTGAGCGAGGGACGTGAACACGGCGGCGGGAGGTACAGGGTGAGCCTCGGTGACAGCACCCGCCTCCTCCAGACCTGGCCATGGGTGAAGGATGCGAAGCTCAGGCACCTCCTGTCCCCAACCGTGCACAAGGGCATCACCCAGGGGTGCCCCTGCAGCCGAGGCTGGTGGGGAGGAGGTGGCATCAGCTCCCGGCCCGTGCCATGGCCCGTGCTGCTCGGGAAAGGGAGAGAGGAGGCATCTGAGGAGCCTGGCCAGGGGCAGGGGGCTTCTCGCAGGCAGGTGGGGCTAGCACAGGAGTGGCTCTGCTGTGCTGCCCCCACTGAGATGGAGAGACAGGTATTAGAGTCACCCTCTCCATCAGCTGAGCACCCTGACCGCAAGCCCACGCCACCCTGTCTTCAGCAAAAGAACCGAGGTTGGAGGGTGACCTATCTGTTCGTGGCACAGGAGCCAATACGGGTGGACCTGGCTGCAGCTGAACAGAAGCTTCAGATCCTGTCTGTGTCCACAGGCTTCACGCACGTGACATGCTTCAAACTACTACCGTCGCCTCCCTGACAGCCCCAGACACTGCTTCCCCCACTGCAAAGCTCCCAGCAAGCTATCTCTCATAGTCAAATGGGCAAGAGCTCTTGACCCGCAGCTTTCACTGATAAAAAAAGTGCTGAAGAAAAAAGGTCTCATGTGAGCCTCGGGAGGACTGCAGGTGGGGGCAGAGGAAGGAGCAGCGTGGCCATGCTCCTAATCTCCTCGTGCTCATGTCTGGCATTTGTCAGGCAGCTTGGCACACCGATAGCGAGGTGACAAATGGGGAAATAGGAAGGGCCCTGGGACAAGCTTCCACCTGTCCCTGCTGCCGGTCTAGCAATGTGCGCCTTCTCACTGACACGCACCCTCCTGCTCTGACCCCTGCCCCTATCTGAGAGATAAGGGTTATCTCTGCTTGCTCCGGCTTGTGGTGCCAGGGTGGTTGAGGAAGCAGGGAGTCCTGGCTCCCTGCCCCAAGCTGCTGCCCAGCCACCAGATGAGGGTGGAGAGATGAGATCAGCTGTGTCCTGTGGCGAGTCCCTCCTGCCTGATCTCCAGGGCATGGGGCTCCTCATATGTGCCTGGAAATATGGCCTGTCCCCTCTCCATCAGAGGCAGCACTCAAACCAGGTCTTGCCTGAGGAACTGCAATGCTGCAGGGTCTACCATCTGGGCTGAGTGGGAGCTGCTCTCCATGCCTGCAGACAAGCATGGGCATCCTCTCTTGGGAAAAATGACACTGAGCAAGGGGGACTTGTGAATCTTCAAGAATTCCACTGGGCTGGCATTTAATAAGCATGCTTTGAGAAGTGATGCCAAAGCCCGGAGCCCAAGGGACCTTCAGGACACCGCAGCAACTTGTCAGAGCACAGGAGCATGACAGGAATGTGCTGCATCCTGCTGCTTGATACCGCAGGCCTGTGCCGAATGGGTAATGCTGTCCTTATCTGTCCTGCTCTCACCCAGCCCGGGGCTGACCGTATTGTTTCACGATCCCATGTCTCTGCTGTAATCTCAGGCAGAATGGTGTTTGCTCGGGGCTGTTTCTAATGCACTGGGTATTGTCCTCTCAAGCGTATTGGACAAAGTGATGACAAGGACCTGGTAAAAATAAGGTTCTTATATCACTGTTCAGCTATGTAGGGCACTGGTGGCCTCCTGTCACTGGGACGTTAGGCCTTTCGTTGGGGTCTGGCACTTTCTGCTCACCCTGCCGGAGGTGATTAGAGGAACACGTCAGCTGAACTTTCCACTGTATAAACAGTTGAGATTCCAAGGTTAAAGTAAAATGATTTTAAACCCTGTCATCTCTCTGGCATTGCAAAAACAAAAGGCTTAACATTCAGAAGTGCCAGTGCTCATCTCTGCTCTGTGTTGAGCCCTTCGTCCCAAACTCTGAGCACCACAAGGCACCCCTAAATTCAAAAATCAGCTTGAGGATGCTTCTGCTTGGGGCTTTCTTCTTCAGAAACCTGAGGGCTGGGATTGTGTTCCTGGTGCAGTTGGACTGCCTCCTTCTCATAGCACCCAACAGTACCAAGTAACTTCATGTTTGACCCTAGGGATAAAACTGGCTTACAGGGCACATTTTTTCCCCAGCAATGTGATAGAAGGGCATTGCGAAAGGGAGAAATTTAAAATTGAGCAAATAATTTCAAGCCAGACTTTTTGTTTTAAGAATTTTGTCCTGTAAATCTCTGTTTACCACAAGCTCCTGACAAGGCAGCTGGAGAGAAACTCTGCTCAGACTTCAGGCCAACTTGCCCAGCCTCCAAGCCTCAGCTCCAGTGGATAAAGTCATGCTCAAAAGACCTCAAATGTTTATAAAGGGGGAATTTTTTTTTTTTTTTAACTTCCCCCCGCCCCCACCTCCCACCTCCCGTTCTCTTCTTTGATAAGTGGCTGGGGAGATTTTACTTGAACTCTCCTTAAAAATTCCTGTTCAGGCAGAGTCCTGGAACATTTCACCTTCAAAGACGAGAGCTGCGAAACACTGGAAACGGAGAAGCTCAAGGGCCAGACTGGAGAAGCTGCCGTATGTACGCTGTGTGCACTTCACAGTGGGAAAAACAAGAGCAGGAACAACTGCAGGGCAGGACAGAGCGGTGTCTGAGCCTGGAACATTTCATGTCATTTATGCTGGTTTCTGAGATGAAATGAAAATCAAAGTGCTTCCTGTTTCAATTCCCATTTTTGATATCAATCCTGTTGTTCAAAGACCCCTCCTGTCCCAGAGACTTGCCACTTTCCCCAGCTTGCTCTGAGTCCCAGAACAGGCACTTAACACAGGATTATGCCAACGGGCATAATCCCATGAATTGAGGAACCAGGAGCAACAGAACAAGCAGTTCCCAGGGGGAAGAACATCTCTCAGTGCATCAGTAGAGACCCAAGGGCCAATTTAAACATGCAGAGATGGCCCCAGGCTTCAAAAATATAGACTGCTGTCCTGGCACTGGAGGACCCTGATGGCTTTCCTGCTCCTTTCTCTGATTTTGGATCTCCCTGTCCTGACACTGGGCCCTGGTGAAATTTGAGTCACCTTTTTGCTTTGTGTCAGCTCCCATACTGGTCTGCCTGCAGCAGCCTGGGGGAAATAATTGCAGAGGATTCTGCCTCCTTTTTCTGGCTGAGGGATACGTGATGGAAGAAAACTAGGCTTAGGCATAAATTCTGGGTACTGGTGGGTAGGAATGTACCCTGCCTTGAAGTGCAGGCTGTGCCTCGTATTCCCCAGCAGTCCAGCACCCTGGGGATGTTTCCCTGCCCCAGTGGGGCAGCATTCTACTCTGTTGGGCCTTGCATACCACTAACATCAGTGGGGAAAAAAAGAGAACCACAGCCTCGCTGAACTGGGGACACTTCACCCTCACCTACTGGGATGTAAAGTCTTGGCAGGGCACAAGTGGGAGAATCCAGGCTGGCCTCACAACCACACGTGTGCACCCAGGTCCTCTCTCATGTGAGGGAGGAATGTTCTGTTTCCAGCAGTATCATTTACACGCTCAAACCCTTGGGGAGGGAAGGGGTTTAAGAAGGGAGGTTTTTTCTGAGGAGACATGGCTGAGCAATTGTTCATGTTTCAGTGGTCATTGCTCTAAGACAAGAGGTCTATTTTCATAGGTCTGAATAAGATAGTCCAGGACTGGACTGGGCTGCTTACCGTGAAAATAATAAAATTTAAGCAGTAAATTCAGCTCTTAAGTCTGGGCAAATCACTTCCTGCAGTTGCTGTGGTACATCCTCTTAACCTTGCCAGCCCCTGCCCCACGCCATGCACACAACACAACACTCACATTCACTCCCACTACCTTTTATGGCCTCTTTCACAGCTGAGTCAACTGGTATAATATTCTTCTCCACCAGCTCCAAAGGACCCGGCCTGAGAGCAATCTTTTCATTGAGATCATCTGCCAGTCGGGCTCTTTTCAGATTCATTTGAGTAGACTGAATGGACCCCTCTGCAGCTGAGTCTAAAAGGCCAAATGGAAGGCATCAGTTCAGGACCTGGGACATCTGTAAACACACTGCTAAGTGAGAATGTGTTGACCCTTCAGCACAGTCTTTCTGGGCTGTGCCCAAAACCTAAGTATGGCTCAGTGCACAGCAGGAGCTGCTCTGAGCCTGAGAGGCAGGATGCTGGACTGGATGGGACTGGTGGGGTTTGGGACATGGGTCCTACTCTGACCCTTAGGTTCAGCATCTCCATTCCCAAGCAAGAGCCTCTGTCTACTATCCTAGGCTTGCAAACCCAGACTGCAGCTGCAGCATCCTCCCCAAGGCTCAGGAATGATCTGCAATGGAAACTTCATTAACAAGCTGCGACTACCATGAGGGCCAAAGTGGACCCCAGCTCCTGCCTGCCAGGAGCCCATTGGCCCGGTGGGATAATGCAGATGGGCTCCTACTTCTGGGGAACAGCTGGAGAGAAGAACTGTTAATGGTGTTTGACAGCTGGATTAAATGGCTTACACTGGAAAATCAAAAGGTGATTCTTTAGAAGTGGATGTTTGGAGGTGGCATAACTACAGTGCTTCAGGCCTTCAGGGAAAAAACAAGCCAGAGAGGAGCATGACAAAGGCAACTAGATCTGGAAGCTAAAGCCCTCTGAGAATTCCCCAGTTTTTGAGTGGTGACAGAAGACTAGCCAATTAAACAGAAAGATTTCCTGAACAAAGGTTATATGGCTTCTCTGGTGGCACAGGCATGAGTAGTGAGTGAGCAGGTTTCTAAACTAGACCATGTCTATACCCTCAGGGGTCTAAAATAAGAAAGGCTGCATCTAGATTGTGCTGCCTTCAAAAACTGGACACTCTTGAAGAAGAGATAATGTAGACAACACAAGCTACAGGGTTTGATGTCGGCAAAAAATTCTCTGCAGGAAGTCACTTCTGGCCTCAGACTACGTAGGGCAGCAAACACCCATGAACTCCCTGAGGTGAACCGGTGCCTGTGAGGTGCCTGTGAGGCATTTAGATAATGCAAAGTGTCTCAGCTGGCCAATTTCAGTCACCTCTACGTCCTTTTATGAACCAGATGGACACGTAAATCCATGATACACCAGGACACACCTCCATGAAATGCAGAGGTGTGGGCAGAGGCTCCAGCCAAGAGGTGTGTGTGGGGCAGCACAGCCAGCTTACTCAATACACAGCCAGGCAGTCTCTGTTCCGCCTCTTCTCCAGCTGTGTCTGGCTGGCCCTGTCCATGTCTGGTGACTGAAGCTGCCTCCGCATCTGGTTTACAGCCCCAACTCCAGTCTGTATTGGTTCTATTATTTAACCTAAGGGAAAGACACTTTCCACCTGTTAAGCAAGCAATGGTGTTAGCTCATTTTAGGGATGGAGACCCAAGGGAAAAGCAAAGCAGTGGCACTTATCTGGCATGGGCCTCTGGATCAGCCCTCCTGCATGCCAAAGGAAAAAGAAATAAGGACTTCAATCATGCTGAGAGCAGAGGCTAGCATTTACAATTGCCAGAGAGTGATCTGCTTCTTCCAGGCGACTGACAGGACTCAAGGAGAGAGGCTGCACATCCTCCCTGTCTCTAAGGAACCCATTATCTCTGGAGAAAATGAAGGACACTGCAGTGTTCTGTCTGTGATGGGATACAGCAGAACCGTGCCAGTTCTCTGACTGGAAGGGGACACCAGGATGGGACAGGGGAGAGCTGCTGTGGCTCATGGACTGATTGCAGGGCTAACTTTTTTCATATGGCTGTGCTTGGGTCATTGACTGCTTCACCATGAATTGTCACAGAAAATATCCAGAATTATTGCAAAACAAAAGGAGCCCAGCTTTGGGAGGGTATTGCAACCACTTGCTACAAGGATTTCAGTGCCCTGGACATCAAATGCCCAGGGTATGCTTTGCATGAGTATCAGACATCAGCACCTCTGTCTAACAGAGTCCTCTCTCACAGCTGTTCCTTACCCCACTGTCCTCTAGAGCTGCTTATACTGGTCCCTGCCAGGGATAAGAAAGATTACATGGCATTGGGTTTGCTTCTGTCAGGGAATAAATGTGTGTCCTGCCTCCTGAAGACCAGGTCTGGACTGAATTCTGTACAACATGTGTCCCATTTGAATCTGCCTCTCATGAGCATCTGTCACAAAGTTAATTGGGGTGAGAGAAATGAAGGGAACCCAAGTGGGACAGGAGAGACATGAGTCACAAGACAGGAGACACGAGTATGTGGGAGAAGCTCAGACTGTCTTACCTTGTAAAATGTGCATATTGACCAGGTCTGATCGCTCAGGCCTGCTTCTGATCTTGTGCTTGAGATAATCTTCAGTCTGCAGAACACAAATGCAGAGAGTTACCTGGCTAGAGCAGAAATAAGGTACAGAGAGCATCTGCTTCTGTGCCATCCTTTTAGATTCTTTTAGAATTTGGTTCTTTTAGATTTATTACAAACTGGGTTGAGTGAGCTTCCAAATGGCATTTATTTGCACTCAGACACTGGTTTGTTCTTGGGCAGAAGTTCATCAGAAAGGGAACAATGTACATGGAGCTGCTGACTATTCACTATATCCACTCCTAAGCTGTGTCCTTTCCAATTTTCCTTAGGTTTCTGATGCCTGAAGTATTAAGAGAGCTCATGGGAAGGATGAGACCTATTCACTGGGAGTGATGGATCTGCTCCTAGTTTAGCATACCATGTCACCTTTAAGAGCTACACCAAGGCAACTCCAGAGTGCATTGTTAGCAATGGCTTCTGTGGGAATCTTGGCAGTTTGGGTTGAGATATAAGGCTGAGCAAGTCTCAAAGAAACCCAGACTCTCTACCCAGGTCAGCCACTAGACTAAGCCTTTCTGCATTCCTGCAACTCCTGTGCTCTGTGGTTCCTCACCCCAGCTATGATGTGGGGTTGGGAAAATCTGCTTTGCAGACCACTGCAGCTGAGCTTGTGATGAAAGTGGTCCTGGAGCCTTGTGTCAACTTCCTCATGGATTTAGGAACAGAAAAGCACACAGAGGTACAATAATGCCATCCATTAGGGACAAGGAAGTCAGTTTGGAGGGCAGATGACCTCAAGAATACAAATATAAACTTATGCCCTTGTGAAAAAAAGCTAGAGCACAACTTGGACAAATTATTGGCTGTTTGCTAAGTTGAGAAGCAAGAAGAAATAGCACACAAAATGTACATAGTTCAAAGAGGTTAAAATCTAAGGGATAAATATTAAAGAACAGTACAAGCTGCTGGAGCAAAACTGGAAAACCCACAGTACATAAAGTACAGGATCATGAGAAAAAGATTTTATAAGGACTTCTGTAGCCAGGACAAGGCAATGGAAAGTGCTGTCTGTGTTCTATAAACAGGAGAAATGATTATGCATGCTGCTGAGATGGCTACAAGATTTAATACCTTTTTAAATCATCCTCACTAAAAAGATAAATGGCTATTTATCAATCAGATGACTAAGCCAAGAACCTTCAGCAACAAAAGAGAAGAAGGTCCTGTTGTCAAGTTGGAGAAAAGGTTGGAGAATACTCAGATGAGTTAAATGTTCCCGATCAGCTTGAGGTACACAAGGCTACAGTAATAGCAACTATCTGTGGGTCTCCAGGAAACTGGGAAAGGGAAAGCATAATTTCTTACTTTAAAAGAGTTGGAGAGAAGAAACCAGGAAATTATAGACCAGTCAGCAAGATACTGGACCAAGTAATGAAACAATCTATATAAATGGATTTTGAAGATAGCAAGTTGGTGAGTAACAACCAGGATGAATTCATCAAGAACCAACCACATCACACCAACCTAATTTCCTTCATTGGAGGGATGACAGATTTCTGTTACAGGAATAAACAATGGATGTTATGTAGTGTGACTTTAAACAAGTTTTGACATTATCTCACATGGCCTTCTCATATATAAGCCAGAGAAATTTGGTCTGAATAAGACTAATGTAAAAAAAGAGCATAGCTGTGGGTCACCAGAGGAATTAGGAATGGCTCGCAGTCTAAACAGAATATATCAAATCATGCTACACAGCAATTTTTCCTACTAGTCAATATATTGCCTTGGATGATAGTAGACATACTCCATAACTCTGAGTCATTCAAGGCTAACAGATTACAATGCAACATGATTTGGAGTAACTGAAGAATTGGTCTGAAATACATTTGATATCATTTCAAGAAGGACATTTGGAAAGGACTACATTCAGGTGACATCCACAGCTAAGCCAGCTGATTAAGCACTGGGGTGAAAGAAAACTTAGTACACCACAAATGCTTCTGTAGTCGTCATTGGACAGTGGCCTTAGGAAGAAATTAGTTACTCCATAAATAGAGAAAAAAAAACATAAAAGGCTCTGGAGAGTCTAGTGATCAGCAGCTGAACCACATCCCCAGAGCAGCAGGCAGCTTTTTAGGAGTCACAATGAAGGATGTTAGTGGGCCCTGGGAATAGCAAGGCCCCATTCTGTGCCCTGCATCTGAAAGGGTCCACGGGAGGGGTCTGGATAACAGCTACAGAAATCAGTATGGAGCCAGAGATGGGATCAATGAGGAGAGACTGAAGGGAGGGGAGATTGTTCAGTCCAGAGCTGAGATTGTTATAGGGAAACAGGGTGCAAAATACTTTTAAAGTGCTACAAGAAGAAAGATAAACAGTTCTGCATGTACATGTATATAGGAGAAAACTAATGGGCTTAAACTTCAACAGAACTGCTTGGGCTGGGAATTAAGGGACACTCACTAACAGCACAGGTTAGAGAGCACTGGAGCAGGTTGCTGAGAGGTGCGATGTCTGTCGGTGGTCACACATCTGTCAGGAATGACCCAGATGGGGCTGTGCTGCTCTGGGGCAGAGGCATGACAGTGTCCCCACAGTCCCTCTCCCTGTCACGCTGGCTGGGGTGCTGGGAATAAGCACTAAAGCCCTGATGAGCCAGACTGCCTCCAGAAAGTCAGCCTGTTCTCTGTCCTCCAATCCAGCAATCTATTATAGGACATTGACTTCAAAGTCTGCTTCACTGGCCTGGTGCCAGCCTTTAACATAGACAGTGACATGTTTAAACAAATAATAGACATTTTATTTACTGAAGTCTTTACAATTCCTTACCCTTCCCCCCATATTTTTTCTCCAGCTTATTTTCACCAATACAATTCCTTGCTTGGGCTCTGTGTAGGTTTGCCTGTTCCTGTGCCAGGTCTGAGCAAGCTGATGTCTACACCTGAGTGTAATTAAATTCACATAATGCATTTCCATCTAATCCTCAGACCAGGTCCTGACTTGGTCTAAGCTTGAATTGCTGTCCTACAGATGTGGCATTGTTCATGTTGAACTCAGCATTCACACTGCGTTAGCCTGACTTTCTGCTGTGATTTCAGTTCCTTTTGACCTTTCTTGTTTATAAGTTGCATTTTTGTCACTGGGGTGCAAATGGAGAAAAACTTCAGATGTGTGGTTTTTTTTTTAACATTAGCTGAAGCAGAAGGGTTTTCAAAACACATCAAAGTGATTGTTGTTATCTGCTTTCTGTTTGCAGAACATCAGTTGGAGGAGGAATATCAGCTAAACAACAAACGCCATTGAGTAATTATCTGGAAACAGCCGCTGCTCCTTCCCTGTCACAGCTCTAAGCAGGGCATCCTTGCAGAGGAATATATCTTTGTTATGGGCTGTGCTCATTAGTGTCTTCATTAACATGTTCTAAAAGTGCATGTAGTTTGGGATAGACTAGACTATCCTTCCTTTTTCACCAGGCAACTAGCCAATGGAAGCTTTTGAAGAGAAAGACAAAGAGACACAAATGTATACTTAAACTGTAAAATATATGACACTTCAAGGATACTTTGGATTGCTTGAAATTTTGTAAGCGTACTAATTTTTCAGAGTCATATTGTGTTTCTTATGTTAGCCGTTTATTACCACTGGAGACTCGGGGCAAGTGATTTGGAGTGTGTTTAAGTTCAGAAGAGCACGTCTCCATATTTCACAGCCATTCATCCTTGCAAAGGTCCTTTTCCATGTGACTACAAGCATGTTTTGCAGATTAATGCAACAAACTCTTGTGTTCAAACAAAACCTGCCTGACTGATTTTTCCCTTTTCTGTGGACGTTCCTCCAGCTTGGTCAAGGCTGGACAGTGGGTGCTTGGAAAACCAATGTGATTTCCCAAAAAGCAATCACATCATAGAGTTGCAATGTGTTCTGGAAATGCCTACTTATCTTATCTCTGCCTTCAGCAATATTTAGGGAAGCCTGAGTGCAGTTAGATAGTGGGGATGGTGGGAGCCTGGCCCACTTAGCCCCTTGGACATTGTGCATCGTAATGGCAAAGCAGCACTGAGGAGCTAAAAGCCAGGCTCCTGTCTGATGACAAGTGTGAGCTCCCCAGGGACTTGCTCTAAGTGACAAAGGACATCTGTATTCCTCCTGCACACTTGCTAAATAGGCTCCTCCAGTCCTGTTGCTGCTGGCCCTGCTCTAACCCCACTGACTGAATCAGGAGTGGAGAGCTGCCAGCACAGTGGGGAGTGGGCTGTGGACCTGGCCTGGAGGGGAAAACAGTACTTCAGCTGGTTGGACATTTACTGGAAGGACTGCAAATGCCATGCTGAACTACTCCCTGCCCACATCCTCTTGTAAAATCCAGGGGCTGTTGTGAAACCCCATAGCTCAGGGCACAGATGGCCTCTCTGCCCTTTTAAACTTTCCCTGCTTGGAGAAGGGTTCTCCAGAGCATTTGTGAACCCTGGATTGGTCCAACCATGTCTGGAAGCAGGGGAGATGCCCTGACCCTCATCCTCGGCCACAGGGCCTGAATGGAGAATACCAGAGGAGGGGACAATGGTGGAAGGTGCTCTCAAACCCCTCTAGTCATGCAAAGCGAGCCCACGTGTTCCCTCATCGGGATGGCTGCAGGAATTACCTTGGCTCGCTCCAGACTTTTTCGCTGTTCGTGGAATGCAGATGGGCTTTTCAGTGCTGCAACAGGAAAGAAATAGGAGCAGTCAGCACAGGAGCAGAAGCAAGCAGCTACCAGGATATTCAGCAACAGCATTTTAATAAGTGCTATAAAAATAGCAACACAAACTAGCCGTTCTCTTTGTTGCGCTGACTAAAAATAACTCAGGAAAGCTCTGGGAAATCCCATGCTCTCAGCCAGTTCATGGCAAGAGAGCAGGGGGGATGGAGAGCACGGGGAACGCAGGAGGCACATGGGCAGGGAGGGGGTGCAGGCTTTGAAACATAGTGCTCTGTGGGACACGTCAGAGGGCAGATGCGGCTTTTCCTTGGAGTGCTTTCTGCAGGTCATGGGAGGCATCACCGCCCCAGAAGACAGATTTTGGAAGAGCAACAACCTGAGTGGGGACCTCATCTGCAAGTAAAACCTGCAGATGACTGAAGCTTGAGGCTAGCAGGAAAACTAAAAAGACCTGTCTTGCCTCTTGGGATCATGTGGGCACTGCCTCCAGCAAAGGGTATTTCAAGGCGAGGCCCCAGAACTGTGGCACTTCGTCCCTCTTCCATCACTGACTACCCCTCCATCTCTCACTGGACATTTGTCCTGTCCCCTGCCCAGAAACATCTGTTTGACATGGGGCCACCCTGGGCAGGCAGCTGCCCATCCAGATAGCAGGCAGCAGACCATGTCCTCATCGTCTCCTGACTCCAAGGAAGATTAACGCAGAGGGGCTCCTGAAAAAAGGCCAGTGATCCCTGGTTCTTGGATCAGTGAACACCAGTCCCAGGGAGCAGTCTGTATTGGACCGATGGAGAACCTTATACATTTTCTTTTTTACTCTGGTTCTGTAGAAGGAGGAGTAGAATTTGCATGGTGAAGAGGTTAATACTTCTCAGGTCCTGCAAAAATTATTCTCTGGCTGTGTAAGAAGGCAAAATTAACTGTTCCCATTGGGATAGGGAAGGGAAAGTTGTCCTGACCCACAAAACCAAACTGCTACCACTCTTCGTTTGGCAACAGGGATTCCCTTTCCACCTTCTGAATGGGATCCAGTAAAGACCAAAATTATTTTCACACAGCACATGCTATCCTCCATCAGTCTAGAGAAGGATGAAGACAAGACAGGGGACAGCCAGGAAATGTTTAGAGGCCCCTCTGAATTGGCTTTTGGTAGGCAACATTCAGGGAAACCTCTGTAATATCCAGTGAATCACGGTAAAACACAGAAGGCACATTCCTGCTCCTAACATTTGGAAAGCAGATATACAGACAAGCTAGCATTACCGTGCCATGCTCCGGTGAGCAGCCATGGGAACTTGTGACAGCTGGTTTAATCAGAAAGCAGAATAAAATGGTGCACATGAGAAAATGAAGTTAGCAAGAGAGATTACTTTTACAGCCGTGCTCACTGTGAAGCACTAGCTTTGGGAGTGTGCTATGAGCATTGACCAAATGTCGTGCTATTCAAGAGGAAAATGTCTCAGAATTTAGTCATTTACCAAGATTTTTGAAGGCATTATGTGGATGCTGCAGCTTGTATTAGTCTGCAAAACAAATGAAGACATTGCTAGCACTGCTTATTCAGACTTGTCAGGAGATGACATGTCAGCTTGAAATGGCTGAGGGCCTGGAGGCAACTAGGCAGAGCTGCTGTGCTTGGTGGTGATAATCATGGGACTATTGCCTCCAAGGTTTCAGAGGATGAGGTGGTGATTGTGTATGGCTAGAGGGTCTTCACTTCAAGTGCAGCTATTTCTGTGGCCTATCTCTGTAGTGAGAACCTTGACTGGAGGAATCCTTGATCCTTCAAGCTGTCTCCCACTCCTTTTGGATAGAGGAACAGGATCTGACTGGAGTCTGGGGCAGACATCTGTGCAGGTCGAGAGAGGGTGTTCATTCATGCTCAGCTCTACAACCTGCCTTCTTGTAAGTGACCCCACATGCTCTTGATTTAAAATGCTTTTGCTGGATGTGTACCAGATTCACTAAGACAATGAAACATACTTGCTGTATGAACTGGAAGATACCTACTCAGCGAGCCTGAAGAATGGGGCAGGCTCTGCTCTCACCTGCACTCATATGGATCAGGAGCATAGATGTGTCTCAACAAACCTGGATCTCCCTTTGCTTTCAGAGTCACCGGTCAGAAGAGACTCAGAAGCTGCTCTTGACTATCAGTCTGCACCTATCTTTATTTGTAGAGTCTTTTTCAAAAGTGTTGACTGTTTTGTGAACCAGCTGCTCAATTTACGATCTGAAAACATCTGACAATCAAGAGTCCAGCTTTGAACCTGAAGTCTTGTGCAATGCTACTGCTCCTGAGCATCATTCTTTAGGCAGTTTCCTGCCTTCTCTAATGAGGCGGCCATCTGAAGGTTTCACATTTCTTAGAGGATCATCCAAGGGAGTGTGAACAGAGCTCAGGTATGCAATGCCATTAATCTTTTCCAGTCAAACCAGACACAGACTGGGCTTTGGTAAGGATATTTATCTCTCTGCACTATGCTCAGGTGACACTGATACTTCTCCCTGCATTATTCTCTTGGATACCAAAAACCAGCCTGCTTCCTAGGACTCGCTACAGTGATTCACACGTACAGTTCTGTAGCTGCACTGCTGAACAACTCAGCAGGCTCTGGCAGTCACCAACTTCCCTTCCTACAGCGTTTTCTAATAAGCCCTCAAATCTTTTAGCCAATGCTATTCTGTTACTCTGAGCTTCCATCTCTCTTTCTGGTCTCTGTATAAAATGGATCAGTTAGAAAAACAAAGTTTCTCTGCCCTGGGATTGTATCAACAGAAAGTGTATGCAGTGGGTTGAAAGCAATCCTTGTGCAAAATCCGATGTGCAGCGTGGGATCAAGTGCATACTCCAAGCCTCATACCAAATCTGACTATCACCATCGAGAGCATCAATGCCCATCTTTTCTCAACCCCTGTGGGTTACAGACACATGGGTTCATTTCTTGCCCTCCTGTAATGCATGTGAACTGTCCTGGTGCACCTCCTAGAGCCCACCTCACCTGCTGGTCCTCAGAGCCAACAGGGCATGGGAAGATATGGTTAAACACTTCCTCCTGAGGTCAAATTAAGCAGTTAAATTCTGCATGTTTGTTTTTATACATGCTTCCCAATGTAGCCTTCTTGGTCAGAAACCAGACTGCAAAATGTCAACCTAGAAGTTGGGAGTGCAAACAAGCCATAAGAAACAGGAAAATACCCTTCAGGTGCCATCAAATAAATTTGACTTAATGTGTGGTCTGCAATGTGTAAGGTTTTAAATGTTAGGTGTCAGTTGTAAAAGTGCAGTCACATGCACTCAGCCTTGCAGAGCAGCATCAGGTATGCAAACCTCTCCGTTGGCACTACTGCTCCATGTGTGTTCAGTGGGGTGTCCTGCACCTTATCTGAGTGTGTCCACTGTTATAGAGTGGACTTTGTTCAGGAGATGTTAGACATATTTTTGCTCACTGACTGTATTGTAATTGCTTGCAATACTGTAAAAAATATCACAGTATTTTGCTTAAAGCTCCTGGAATCCTGTGATTAAAATTCTTGCCCTTTGGTGACAGGTAACATAAAATCTGAAAGCTTAAAGAAATAAACAAAAGAAAAATTGAAAGAACATACATTTATCAGTCTTAAAACTGTGATTGTTTTGACAGTCATGATTTTTGTCATCCTGCTCAAGTTTTCTTAACGCTTGATGCTGGCAATACGGTACTGAAGTGTCTGTTGCTGGCTACCTTGACATCCTTTAGGAAGGCAACTTCATGAGAAGGGCAGAGGGATGAGCAAGGTGCAGCAAGCAGTGCTAGAGCCATGATCTTCATGCATTGTTCTGATATTTAGAAAAGAGCTGCATCACAATCTTCAAGGTTAGACAGAAGAGACAAAAGTAACACAGCCTTTGGAAAGTTGTGATCTTAGCAGTGAACCCAAGGGACCCTTGATGAGACACAAAGGATAATCCTCTACCTGGGTCCCAGATAATCACAGATTCATGCACATGGAGCCTGAGCTAGGTCAGGATGGTGTTATCCATTGAGCAGGGCTGAGCTGCCAACGTCATTTCTCCAGTAGTGTTACAGGTTTCATGATGCACCTGCAGGTGCAGAAGGGGATCATTTAATTCACTTACTTTTTAGGCTCTAGCAACTGGCTTTCTAATGCTGAATGATTATATGATAATGCTGGCCTGGAGCTTGTCCTTCAGGCTTGAATGCCAGGTTAACAAAGATGAACGTGGTCAAACAGGGAAAAGCACGAACATCATTCATCAGTCTGCAGCAAGCAGGCCTGGGTGGGTTTTCACTGGCCTCAAGTGTACGCTGACAGCTCTCTGTGAGGTCCTGTCTGGGCACAGGCACAGATCTAGATAGGTCTCAATCATCCAGGGGCTGCCTCTGCACTGAGGCCAGGGCAATTACCCACCGTTTTCTTCTTCCACAGCCTCCTGGAATGGGCCCTCTCTACGTCTTCCTTGTTCCGTGTGTCTGATCCTGCCACAGAGGTTCCTGGCTTTTATAGGAGGACATGAGGTTCTCTGCCCTTGCCTACATGAAGAGCTTTGTGAGTCTTCTGCTTGGAGCTGTTCATCTTGTCCTGTTACAGTGACCTCTGGGACAGGGAGGTATGCAGCTGAATTTTTTGATGGTGTAAGCTAGAGCATCTCTCCTGATTTCAGTTTGAGCAGTGGTGTTATAATCTGTGTGGCAAATGTTGGGCATTGTTGCACAGCATCAGGGACCATATTTCTATAGCACAGGAAGCAAAGTCCCCCCTGGTAGCAATCTGTTCAGAGCTGAATGGGTCTGAGCAGGCAGCTGATGCCACACAGTGCTCAAGATGAACACAGCCCCTCTGAGGCAGGAGGGGGTGAAAAAGGCAGAAAAAGATACTCACGTGGCATGATGCCTTGGTCTGCCAGCTGCTCACGGGTCCTTCTCTGCTGAAGCCGTAGCTGTAAAACTGTGAGAGAGAGCATGTCAGGAAAAGATGCAGGATTTTACTGCGGTACTAATACATCTGTCAGGGACAGTGTGTCAGGGGGTCTGTGTGTGGTACTGATCCTTGCTGCTGCTGGACCAGCCTTGGTGCAGCAGAATGCTTCAAACCAAGGAGGACTGCCAGGGAGGAGCTGTGTAGCCTGCACTGACCCAGTCCTCACTTTTGTAGAGAGATGAGCAGGGCAGGGCTGCTTCTGGTGTAGGCAGTACCCTACTGCCCAGGACAGGCTGATTCCAGCCTGGCACTTGTAACAGCAGCCTCAGGTGACCGTGGCTTCACCTCTAATAGTTGCTCAGCTCTGAACTCTGAAGCTGAAATTTCCTCCCTCACCCTAGCACTGTGGGTTGAGTAGAGATTTCCAACTCTATCACCCTCCTGAGGACCTGGCAGCACGTTTCCTGCCCTACAAGCCTCAACACTGGATGCAGATATGCTTACTGTACTGAGGGGGATGTAGATAATGTGATGAGGAGAGATTAGTGCCATCTCTGTATGAACCCACTGCTCCAAGGACTTGAAATCTCCAGTACAACATTGTTTTCGAACCAATGCACTGACAGATGAGAATGAACCACTGATTAGTGTCATTAATTGGCTTAGCAGCATGGCCTCTGTTACAGAGCACCAACTAGGCATCTAACAAAGAAGCGCCTCTCAGTATTTACAGCATGTAACGACAGCCCACCACACCCCTGCAGCCTGCCTTGTACAAGGCTACAGACCTGTGTGTGGCCCAGGAATGCACAAGTTAGTTCATTCCATCACTCAGGTAACCCTGCCTGTACTTTGAGTTAATAACATATTCTACACCTTTCTTTTTGCAAATTTGTCTTCAAGAAGACAGACACTTGTATCACAAGGTAAAACATAATACTGATTTCCATATTTTCCTGCTGGAAACTCAGTACAGCTTGCCACAAGGACAGATATTTTTCACTGGTCACAACATAACCACATGCATATCCCCTGCCTACCAGCACAGCCCCCCTTAGCTGCCTGTAGAAAGCTAGTATTGGAAGGGGAAGAGGGAAGAACAGTTTTTTTATTTTCTGGAGAAACCTGCTGAGCTCTGCCAACAGCTCATATCTACAATGCGGCTTTCCTAGGATGTGGGATGGAGCTGAATAACAATCCTTTCCAGAGGAGTCCCCAAAGCACAAGGCTCCTTTAGATGCTATTGTTTGTGACTTTTCCATGTCCTCTGTATAAACCATGTCTCACATTCAGAGCAAATATTTAGTGAAGGCCTCACATGGGACAATGATCTCCTGTCAAATTTCAGCACTTTTTAGGACCCTCACATTGCTGTGAGGGAAAATCGTAGCTTTCAAAGGTAAAGTCTAGTACCTGGTAAAGTCTGCATGCATGCTGTTCCCCTTATGACAGAGTGAAACTGGTGGCTGGAAGTCACTGGCAAACCTTGCTGCCAGGGAAATCTGTACCATTGCCCCATGGCACCACACTAAATTGGTGCTGGTTCCGCCCATGGACACAGATTTAGACCCTTGCACTCTAGGTATCTACATCAGACCCTGTTATCTGCATCCCCATTGAGGGAGTCATCCCCCTCAGAGGACCTCAAAATCAAATTAGATAGTTCATGCTTTAGATATGCTTGTCTTTCCTCCTTGAATATAGAGGCAGTTTAAGGGTAACCAGCTCATGGTAAGTAACCTACACAGGTGAGATGGACCCCAGTTTCTCTGTGTAGAACATTCTCTGTGACTGGTCACAATATTGAAGAACCATGCAGAGCTTTGCACTTCCCTGAGGAAGAGTTGTATCTTTATGAAATAGGAGAGCTCAGGGAGATCAGACACTGTCTAAGAATAAATAAGATTTGCAGCTCACCCAAGAATGGCTCTCTACCCTCCTAGGTCCTGGCATTAGAGTATCTTGACTTGAACTGAGGCAATTTACACACAACATCTCATCACCAAATGGGAATTGGAGCTAGCAAAGACTGCCCCATCTAGCTGTATGTCCTGGTTTGGGCTGAAATAGAGTTAATATTCCTTTTCAGGGACTAGATGAGTGCTGTGTTTTGGATTTAGCTTTAGGTTTGGCATGAGAAGATTGCTGATAGCACACTGATGTTTTCAGCTGCTACCGAGACATCAAGGACTCTCCGACTCTCCATGTCCTGCCCGTGCGCAAGGGCACAGGGAGCAGGGAGGGAGCACGGCCACAGCATCTGACCCTAACTGGCCAGTGAAATATTCCATATCATGGAACATCATGCTCACTGTATAGAGGAGGGGTGGTTGGGAAGGAGCTCTCTCTCTCTCTCGCTTCCAGGATTGCGATTGCGGGATCTTGGTATCTCGGGGTCGCTGGCCGGGAACGGGCTGGGTATTGGTTAGCGGGTGGTGAGCAATTATGTTGTGCATTGCCTGTTTATATATTTCTTTTTTTTTTTTTTTCCTATTATCATCATTGTTCTCGTTTTATTGCCATTATTAAACTGTTTCTATCTCAGCCTGCGAGTCTCCCTTCACCCCTCCAATTCCCTCCCCCATTCCCGGGGGGGGAGGGGGAAGGGAGGGTGACCAGCTGCGGTGGTTGGCTGCCGACCAGGCTCAAACCACGACACTGTAAAATGCCCCAAGTGAGGATGCTCAATCACTTCCCTTCACACCTTCCACATGAGCCAAATTATTTGCACCATTTCACTCTGACTTCTGACATAGCCAGACTAAGTGATATACCACATGAGCAAGGAGGATGCTATCAATCAGATGACCATGCATTCAAAGCCTACATTCACTACTGTGTCTGTTATTTCAAAGCTCTTCCTAGCAGATAAATAATTTAACAGCCTCAGGGTGCAGTCAGCTGTCAAACAGGCCTGTTTAGGGAAAAAGGGGATGTTACAAATTCCCTTGAACCATATCTTTGAAGATGATGATGGTTTCTGGTGTGGTGGCTATAAGATTCAACATCTGCCTTGACGTAAGTAGTGGTGAAAGCATGTGTGGGTTTCACTGCCATAGCTCCCCCTTTGCTTGGATGCAGGAGCAGCACTCGGGATCATGGTTTTCCCAGATTCTACTGCCTCCCAGCAAACAGTGCACAATTCAGAGGAGCCTACCCTACCACAGCTGGGCCATGCTCCATCTAACAGCCTCTCCTTTGTCTCTTGCGCTAAGCACTGCAGATAGACCACCCCAGAGGGGACCAGAAATTATTTAAGGACAATTTTGCACAGGAAGAAAAGGTGTCCAAATTGTTTTTTATACTGAAAGGCATAAAGGCTGTGACCTAGTAATGACACAAGCTGTTCTGAGGGTGAGAACTAAGGTCTTCTCCATGGGTGAGTGGCTATGGTCATGCCATGCAACCTCCCCCAGACATGTGGTTCATCTTGGGCCATGCTGAGATTACAAAGTTCCTGGCCTATTATTAAGCCAGACGGCCAGGAGGAAAAGTTTATCCAGCCTTGTCTGTTCAGGTGACTCTGACAGAAAATGTGAGGACAGGTGCATGCAAATGCTGGCCATTTCCACGAGCAGCTCAAGCTTGGTAGCTGAAACAGTTACTTCTGTCACTGAATATTCATCCAGATCTGGACCTCCTCAGCAATAGAATGCATGCCTTGACTCCCAAATATCATCTCTATGAATTTTCAAAGCCTGCTACAAACCATCTGGAGGAACGTAACTGTGGACAGTGTCAGACAATAACACTGAACATCCCTGCTGGAAGAGGTAAGGCAGACACTACTTTCAGAGAATCATAGAATCACAGAATAATAGAATGGGATTGGAAGGGACCTTAAAGACCATCCAGTTACAACCCCCCTGCCCCAGGCAGGGCCCCCTGCCCCCAGCCCAGGGGGCTCCCAGCCCCGTCCAACCTGGCCTTGAACCCTTCCAGGGAGGGGGCACCCACAGCTGCTCTGGGCACCCTGGGCCAGCGCCTCACCCCCCGCACAGGGAAGGATTTCTTCCTAATATTTAATATAAAACTATCCTCTTTCAGTTTAAAAACATGACCCTTTTCTCTATCCCCACCCCCCTGATCCAGAGTCCCTCCCCACCTCTCCTGTCCCCCCTTTAAGCCCTGGGAGGCCGCTCGAAGGGCTCCCCGGAGCCTTCTCTTCTCCAGGCTGAACCCCCCCAACTCTCTCAGCCCGGCCCCCCAGGGGAGCTGCTCCAGCCCCCCCAGCATCTCCGTGGCCTCCTCTGGCCCCGCTCGAGCAGCTCCGTGTCCTTCTGCTGTTGGGGGCCCCCGAGCTGGCCCCAGCACTGCAGGGGGGCTTCATGAGAGAAGAGTAGAGGGGGAGAATCCTCTCCCTTGACCTGCTGGCCACAATTCTCTCAATGCAGCCCAGGACATGGTTGGCTTTCTGGTCTGCAAGCGCACATTGCTGGCTCACACTCATTTTTCCATCCACTAATACCCCCAAGTCCTTCTCTGCAGGGCTGCTCTCAACCCACTCACTGCCCAGCCTGTATCCGTGTTTGGGATTTCCCCAACCCATGTTCAGGACCTTGCACGTGGTCTTGTTGAACTTCAAGAAGTTTGCATGGACCCACCTCTCCAGCCTGTCAAGGTCCCTCTGAATGGTATCCCTTCCCTCCAACGTATCACAGCACCACACAACTTGATGTCATCATTTCGGCAGTCTCTGAGTCAGTGCTGCAGCTTGCAGCTTAGCAGATACCAGGTCAAGGATTGCACCTTTCCCTTACAGCTAAGGATGCTTAAAAACAGGGCTGGAGGAATCTCTGGCACCACTCAAACAACCACCACTTAGCTGATTCTTGAAGGGAGCTTGAAATCTGTTGAAGCTGTGTCTGACCCGGGCTGCATTCCTGTCCTCTTCTTTTGCTGTGTGTCTGGAGTCCTAAGGTCTGAGTGCTGCCTGTGACTCATGTCAAGGATTCTGTCACCCCCCATGTGCAGGAGTTGTTTTTTTTCCTGAATATTCTTATTTTTCAAGGAAGCTGCTTTACTAA